ATCACCATTCAGATAAGCTGACACTTCTAAGTTCATCTTTCAACACCAGTTTATGGCATACAGTCTCTGTTTATATTTTAATATTTTGAGATCAAGCAGAGTTCCAAGAAGTTCTCTAAAACGGTTTCTGCTATATGACTTTATGAAATATGTAGTACACGTGCAGAAGGAGCATGAAATATAGCAAGTTAGGCCGACATATCGCTTTTTATGGAATGTCAGGAAATGTCGCATAAAAAGTGATATATGTTTCTAACACACAAATGCATTTTTTATTACATTGTATATATAAAGTGTTTTACGTAATATTTGTTCGATTCATCATTACATTTTTACATATATTAAAAGTATATTTTAGACATTCCTGTACTAAAATTGAAATGTTATAATTTAAAAATGTTAAGTCTTCAATATCTTAATAATAAGGTAAAAACACTACTTGAAGACAAAAATGCACTGTACAACATTCATACAATTTATGGTTTAATTACCAGTTTTTCCAGAACAAAGGAATATGATAAAGCCGACCAGTGCAGACAATGATTGACTGACACTGTCCATGCAGAAACGTTTACAATTTTAATACGCTTATTTACTTGGCATCGGCTACAAATTAAAATCCTAAATGCAACGGACGAGATAAATGCCGATTAAATATATTGTAGAAAAACTAATAGGTTTATATTCCTTCGAAAATATTGACTTAAATTATGTACACCTCTGTACTTAGTGAACACTAACAATTATTAATAAGACCAATAAAGATAAAAATAGACTAAAATCTTGAATTCAATCAAAGCATTCTAGATGAAACATAACTTGTACGTTTAAAAGGATGGTGACAGTTAATGTATATAGATGGCTTACAACAATATCAATTCACTACTCACTTATTGGGAAGTACAAGACGTCTTTGTCATCCATCACAAAAAATACAATTGAATAAAAACATTACTTCTGTACACTGGAAATGCTATTTGTCCCTGTATAATTTAATGAAAAGCCTCTTTGTCAGCCAGTATCTACGCTATGAGAAAAATTGGATGGTCCAAATTGACAGTAGCTTGACGAAAGATAATACAATATATATATTTCTTTGTTCCATTCGTCGGGTTGACAAAGTACTTATCGTATGTTTTACTTTATATATGGACATTTACTTGGGTTTGTACTTACAACAAAAAACTATCTACAAGGTTGATTTCTGTGAAATATAATGTGTTGCAAACAAACAAAGTAAAGTTATTTCAATTTTCTTTCCTAAAACTTTGAACAAAACGAATTACAGATACATAACGTTCTGGACGATTGTTTGTCTGTTACCTCTGGAATTTGATATCATTACACACAGTGACATGATAGAGATGTCTTCTGTTTATATTGTTATTAAGTCGTAATGGGTGTCTATTCTTGAGCTTTATTTACAGTACTGTAGACAGATTATCTGTCTCATATGCACTGTCTAAACAAGGAATAAATAATAATTTTTTTAACCAACCACCACTTCACAAGAATGCTACTTAAAACTTCAATTATTCTTAATGATTTTGATACTGTGACAATAAGTTAACAAGCAATTATCATAGTATTGCAAGCAATCCATAAGTCCCCTACCGGTTAGAACCCCATCAACATTCTGAGGGGCCATTGGCAATTCACTAATGTTTCAATTTTTCTCTATTTTAAGTAAATTTGTTGGAAAAGTTCTTTAAAAGTGATCACAGGAAACAGTTTTTTATGAACAGACAGACAGACAGACAGACAGACTGAGGACACTCTAAAGTTAATATTTGAAACATCCCTGTTACCAAAATATAACATTTTAAAAGCAAAATTCTTAAAGAGGAGATAACTCTTGAATTAAAGATGCAATTTCATAAAAATTTTCAGCTCTTTTTGACTAAACACAAATATTGTTATATTTGCCATGTTTTAAGCCTATTTGTTGCCAAGGCAACTGATATTTTATCAAAATAGGAAGAACAGATAAGACATGCATAATCTCAAGACTGCTATCTACCCATATGTCAAGTTTCATTAAAATATTTCCAGTACTTTTTGAGTTATCACTGGATTCAGTTAATGTGTAAAATTTGCCAACTTTTCAGTATATGTGTTGCCATAGCAACCAGAATTTTCAACATAGGAAGAAAAGAAAAAGACGTGCATTATCTCAAGACTGTCATCTACCCATATGTCAAGATTCATAAAAATATTTCCAGTACTTTTTGCGTTATCACTGGATCCAGTTTATGTGTAAAATTTGCCATATTTTCAGCCTATTTGTTGCCATAGCAACCAGAATTTTCAACATAGGAACAAAAGAAAAAAACGTGCATAATCTCCATACTGCCATCTATCTATATACCAAGTTTCATAAAAATATTTTCAGTACTTTTCAAGTTATCGCGGGATCCAGTTTTGTGGACGGACGGACTGACGGACTGACAGACGGACGGACGGACAGACGGACGGACGGACAGACGGACGGAGGGTAAACCTAAATTCCCCTCCGGTAAACCGGTAGGGGACTAATAAATTCAAGACCGTTATTTAAACGCCTTGTTTTGTCACTTTATCCCCGTTTATCATTTATTTAGTTATAGCCCCTAAATCAAAACAATGTAACAAAGTTCTCTTCCTGCTACGCTCAAATTACTGCCTTCACAAACTTCACGTTACCATAGAAATTGGCACGTTACTTCTAAACGGAGGCTATTAAAACTACGGCAAGGAAAATAGAAAAAAAGTCGAAAAGAGTATTTTTGTGACAAACATAATCGTCATTTCTTCCCATTGTAAAGAAAGTAATGAAAACAAACTTATGATGCCAGCACTACTAAGTGTTGAGAATTGAGTACCGCTCAAGTCGGTGCTAGGGGGGCGTGATGGATGTTGCACGTATTCATTATCCCTCATGTACAGACTCAATCAAACCGAGTCTGCAATTCTCTTGTAATTTTGTTGTGATTAATGCTTCCGAGGGATCACTTTGTTTCCAGATTTTTATTCAGAAACTGAAAAAGAAACTTCAGAAAAAGGTCTTGATTATTATAATATTATAGTTTCCAAACATCCTACTTTCACTTAACTTAGAGTAATAACGTGTTACGTACAGGACCGAAAGTATCCACATAATAATATACATATTTTGTTATTTATTCAATTTCAGCAATCTATAAGTGAAACGAAAGCATTCAATAACATGTACACAAAAAATATCACAATCAAAATTATTATTCTTTATAACATTTTATCAACATTTTGAAAATAACAACTTTTGATATAGTGGAGCAAAGGGTGGACAATCTGTAGAAGTTATCATATAAAAGACAGACGGATAGACGAATGTTTTTTAAAGAAATAATATAATCATATGAAATGTTACAACCTAGATATCTCTTTGGACTACTCTACTGTAACAAACTGTGTAGATATTGACGTGATATAATTACTTCAAATTTTGGACGTCTGTCTCCCAGTTTCCATTAACACCATTAGGAAAGGAACACAATAATGCCACCTTTCTCATATATATCAGTTCAAAGAAAAGGATAATAAAGTGGCTTTTATTTTTTTTTTGTCAAACCATTTGTTGTACATATATATTTAGTTTAATAAAATAAAAAGAAGGAAAAATAATCATTGCACTACTTAAAGTGCAGTTTAAATCTCAAAATTATTCCTGGATTATTTTCTTGTCATTTAAATATTTGCACATGATATAGAGGATATTTGTTTGTTTGTGTGTAAGATGAAATTTTATTTCATCGAGTGGGCTTTTAAAACAGTATTCTCACGAGTGGCGTAGCCACGAGTGAGAATACTGTTTTTAAAGTTCACGAGATGAAATAAAATTAAATCTTACACAACAAACAAACAAATTTTCTTTTTATTTTATGCTAAAAAAACAAGTTAAAACGAGATTTCCATAATATTAACGTAAATATTAAAATCTGTTTTCCCCATTGAGAGCCCCATTTAGTCGGAATTTCTCATTAAAAACAAGAAGTCTTGAGCTGTAAAATAAGTCCGACAATCAACGTTAAATGACAGTGATATTATTTATTTTGTTAAAAAAATATGAATGATCGCTTGTTTTAATAATAAAAACAAACAATTCTTGTAGGAGAAAAATTCCAACCATCCATCCATATTTCTGTCACTTACTGCGTATTTATATTAGACCTGGCTTTGTTAAATGTAAGCGGCAGCCATTTTTTAAAGTTGTGTATTTCACGGGAGGAAAATAATTGTGTTTGATTCAGAGGGATATCATTTAGATTTGTTAGTCATACGCCTTTTTAAAAGAAAGAAAACATATTTGAGGATTGAAACAGACAAAAAATAAGTGTTGACAGATGTGAAAACATGAAAAAAAGCAGCTATGAAAATGGAAAACTTGGAAGTTGGAACTTGCTCGGAACGCTAGGTGGTTTAATTTTTCTACGAGGTGATAGCTGTCATTGCTTTTCAATTTTTCTTAAAGCATACGGCAGTTATTGCTCGTAGGATACTTTAATGTGCCCAAATGTCATCAAGGGCAGTTTGCATGTGGAAGGACTGTAAAAATGAAACAAAAAATTTAGAGATGAAATTTGGTGATTGGAATTTGAATGAATAGAAGTAAGTTTTCTTCTTTTTATTACTTTTGACAATTAAGTTGATTATCAATTTCAGCTTTGCGTTTTCTTTAAACAGCCTGACATTGTCAGAATTGTTACCAAAAATAAAATTGAGGTACCACATGGGAAAAATCTAAAAAAAGTAGTTTCGTCATTGAAAAGTGTGAAATTATATTTTGATAATTTTCACTGTGAAATTATCAAATATAATTTTCACGGATAAATCAGTAATCCACTGAAAAGCATAAAATAAAAGATGTTTTTTGTGTGTGTGTGTTTTTTTTTGTACATATACCTAAATTGCAGAAATAAATCATATTCATTGTTCTGGTTTTGTCAATGGGCACATGTGTTTATATTCTTGTCAAACAAACAAAAATTCATCTATATTTATTCACATAAATCATTTCATTATGAGCAAAAACATTTCAATAATCGCAAAAGGATAGTCAGATATATCATATATAACAAACACTAAATAAAACAATTAATAAAAAAGAGTTGTGCAAGGACGCGCAGTCTAACTTGACGACTAGTATTCCGTGCATGTTAAGATATATTTTTGTAGACAAATTAGTGCAATTTATAGCAATTTCAATTTTCTTTGCAATGATGTTCATTCAATAATTCGTAATAGAGAAACCTAACTGTCAATGCATCACAATAAATCATAACATGAAATTAGCATTTTTAATTTTTAAATTATTTAAAATTTTGAAGACTTCGATTGATTTTGTTATAGTGAAACGTAAACTAAACTCTAAACAAGATGATATAATTTTATTACAACTTATTATACCATAGCTAATTCGTTTGTCCATTACTTGTATATAATTTGAATTCTAATGATCAAATCAGAAAGCAGTTAAGCAAAATGGAATTAATGTTTAGAGGATGTACTAGTATAAAGTTATGTCATGAAACTGCTTTATTGACATAAACTTTATACACTATTTTTATTTGTCATGGTATATGTAATAGATTGGTTCCCTTATTATAGTGAAATAAAGTTTCCTCTTGATGCAAAATTTATACTATAGTAGTCAAACTAGAGATATTCTAAAGGCGAAACGAAATAAGTTGATTGTATGCGGTCAAGTCAACGTAAATTAACAATGAACTTAAACATGGGAAGAATAAAGATTCCGTCTCTCCCCATTAACACTGAAAGCCAAGTAAAGGAAGCGATATGTGCCAGTTTGTACGTCTCAAATTGGACGGGGAATAGATCGACCTAAGTTCTAAAAGCATGCTCACAAACCGAGCTCACCTCACTGTATTTTTCAGTACACAGCAGTTTTTTTCTCCAACACAATAAGCTCTCATTTCATTTTTCATGGATATATACAAATATGGAAGAAGGCCATCAAAAGATTAGGACCAGTGGTAATATCATAAACCCAAGACTGTCTAAATGTAAAGTGACTTGAACGTTCTTTCTCTTGTATAGGTTCATTTGACAGTGTGCTTTGCATTTCATCTGACACGTGCAAAAGTCAGTAAATTAGCTCATTTTAGTGTCAAAGTTAATGTTGATAAATATCAGACAGACATGTTTCACCTATCTGAATTCTGAACTACATGTATATGTCTTTTATACAACATTAGCTGTCGCCTATGTTAAAACCGTTGATATACGGAGCATCATTCATGTTTATCTAAAACAACAGCCGTTAATGAACTCCGCATTCTGTAAGATTATGTCTGGTATTAGAGATTAATTGCAATCCTCTAAAATGAACCAATGCAGCAGCGATTACACACAAGTGGAATATCTGGTGACTGTGAAACTGAAACAAAAATTAAAAACGTTAATATTCCGTACAGATGAATCAAACAGGTAATTAACAGAAAGGTTTTAGATACCAAAATGTTTCTATCGTAAAATATTGACCAAACTTTTGAGTTTAATGTTAGGGCTTCCATGAGAAAGATTAGCAATTACGTATTTCATGTCAATCAAATTAAGGAAGTCAATGTTTATGTATATTAGCCATACAACTGATATTTCTGTTGTTGTTTTGTTGTTGTTGTTGTTGTTTTTGTTGTTTGTTTTTTTTGAGAGTGTTGTTATTTTTTTTTCATTATATTCCTACTGCTATAATTTTATTCAAATGCCTTCTGTCCATATAACATATTGTTTCTTCGTTTCAAAATCAATTTAATCCGTACAAACATAACTATAGTACTTTAAATATGATAGGTTTAAAAATCATATTTTACCTTAATTTATTCAAATTAGTTACAGAATAAAAATTTTCCATTCCAGTGACTTACCCAGATATCAAACTTCCCAGGATAAATACTTTCTGGTACTCTAAATGCGTACATTAAAGCACCTCCTATGTACAAGAAAGCCATTGTTAAAAGGTGCAGTACTCCATATTCATACATTGCTGGATATATTCCCACAATACTGACCAGGTGTATAGTTGGTATAACACCTGTCAGACCGAGGGCAATGAATAAACCTGCATAGGAAAATATAATAAATATAGATACACTGATAATTTACAATCAATAAAACAAAACAATTATCCATAAAAATCATTGATTTAAAACTGACATACGTTCATTGTTATTTAAAACAGATATTAACTTTATTTTTATGTAAAATGGAGGTTTGCAACAAAAATTAAAATAGTTCAGTACATGTTTGAGTTTTCATTTATAAATATTTTTGTCTCATATATACGACCATGAATCGTGAATATAAATGTGTTGGTTTGTGAATGTATTCATCATGATATAAGATAGCAATTTAAATACCCATTGATGTCATTGTTTTACTGGACCAAAATAACATTACCTGCTCGAAGAGGTCTATATGCTGGTGTGGCAAATTTGTCAAACAGTGAAACAACGATGCAGCTCGTTCCCAGAATAATTATAGACACTAGGTAAACCATGTGTGCAACAGGATGACAGAAGAATGAATAGTAAAGGAATGGCACAAAAGATCCAACTGTAAGCAATGCTATACCACAATAATCCAATCTGGAAAAAAACATAAACCATGTTTGCATTTCTTTACAATGTTAGGATAGTATCATTCAGTGTTAAACATAATCATTTAGGGCAAACACATTCTTTTACTTGGGGACCATACGCCGCTTTTCATAGAATGGCACTACTGTGTCACATTGAAGGTTCCATGATAACCGCCGTATGAACACATTTGCGGGTGTTTCTAAATTCAAAATTTCACCATTTTCGTGTTTAAATCATAAATGTTGAATTCTGCTTAAGCCGGTGCTAGGGGGCGTGGACAGTAACTTGCACTTTCCAGTACCGTCCATGAACAGGCTCAATCAAACCGAGCCTGCAACATTTTCAATTTTGTCTTTAGGGATTCTCTTTTTCTCTATTCTTAATAATACTAAAAATTTAAATAAAACAATAAAATACAGAAAAGTAAGCAGGTGTTTGAACGAAACCATTAAAACACCGGTATTAAATGCAACTTTGCTCTTAAACACTAATGTACAACTGCTGAATTATTGCTGTTAAAGACAATTTTTGTGCAAAAAGTCATACAGAAGCCGTAATGTTTTGGTTTACAATATGACATACAAAACCTTAAAAGTTTAGTGGTGTTTGCTACAGAATCGATAAAAGCAAATCTGTTCCAACACTGGCACTGACACTAGTTACTTTGACTATGTCTCAACTTTAAGTAAAACTTCCAAATATCAAGATGGTGCAGCCCATACATTCTTAATGTTTTACACTTCTAGACGTAGTTTATTGTTTCATGTCTTAGTGAGTTTCAACATTGCATAGTTCTTCTTACTCATGAGAAGGAAGAATAACACTTCAATTGACACGACAGGTACTAGAGTACCTGACTTGTTATGAAAAGTTGAATTACCCAAAACAAACATAATATATGTCCAAAAAGAAATCTATTCATTTCACACAGGTCTTATTTGTGTTCTACTCTAATAATAAATTTATATCTAATCAAAATAAGAGTTTGAAACCATTTCAATTCACGATCTTTTTTATTTTAATCAAGATCAAATATCTTTAATAAGATGATTTGAGACTACAAGTAATATTATTGAATCTGAGTGTTCTGATCTTTACTGCAAAGTGTACCATATTGTTAATTAAGATACAGTCAAACTAACTAATGCATGTAAAATCGTTCATGTTATATTTATGAGACTATTACACGAAAATTAATAACATGTCTCTTTGTACTTCATTTCATGTCGTTTTATCCAAATGTTTTCAAAGAACAAATTGTTTCAAGTATTTGCAACTGTAATTCAATTTATGTCTATGAATAACATTACATTCACATTACATCGCCTCATTATTTATAAAAAACAAAATGAATTTGCATCAAGCAGAAATGTTTTGCTTTGCACCAAGAATATGTTTGGTTTATAATATTCCTTATTACCCATTCCAAACATTTTACAAACTTACTTGCTAAACAATCTATTGACATTTTCAGAATGGCAAAACACTGTATGAAAGACCCAGGAGAAGGTAAGGCATAAAATGGCTCCTCCAAAGAATATACTATGAACGGTGATGTCCTGCCACATCCAGTCAATGTATCTACTGCTGAGAGTATAGGCTGCTATACTTATAAACGCTATCATACCTATAATAAATAAAGTAGCTATACATTTACATGGCAAAACATGTACTTTTTATTGAAAAATGATATTAGTTAAATATCGTTATAAGCATTTCTTTCTTGTCTTTCTTGTATAGATATGTCCTATGTGTCACAACATAAATAAATTTGCAATTTGCATATTGTTTTAGTTCTTTAATAGAAGACATAATCATTGTTTTAGGCATTTTTCAGTAACCAACATACATTGTTTTTTAGTCTTGAACCCTTTATCCTTTATATGCACTAGGACAAATCGGTGTTAAACAGTGTTGTCCAAATTATAGCCCAAGCTTTCGTTTTCAACACATTAACTATTTAAATTCTTGTTTAACATGCAATTATATGAGCATGGCTGCGTCTTTCGGTGTTGTGATTCCATATATGAATAAAAATGCAGAATATAAAAATTTGAAATGAATGCTTCATACTCACAAAAGATAAAACAAAATGAAAAAATAAAGAAAAATATTGACATGGTATGATCTTTTGTATTGCTTTTGGTATTAAAGGAATACTTCTACGAAATACGAAAACCATTGTTTATTCAGCATTGAAAAAATGAACATGTAAAGAAATACATGTATGTATTTTGAATATAAACTGTAAACCGAAAAAGTTTATTTTTACTTCAACTATAATGTTTTATGTAGTATACTTCAACAAGTAAATTATATATTTGAAAACCATTTTACCAAGTAGATGTGTCCAAATGTTTCCTGTTTCTGTATGGATCTGGAATACAGATTTAAAACATGCTCGGAACGAATTAAGCGGAAGTCTATGTCCGAACAACAGATATTCATTGTCCTGTAACCAGTCTGGAAGGTGGTGATGATGTACAAGATTCCATCCGGCTTCAATGACATGTTTTACAAAATCTTCAGCACTTGTAACCATGCGACGGGAGCCGGAAAGAATATCCGAAAATGTGCTGTGGTTCTCTGGTGCGGAATTCCGTCTAACCAAAGGCCTCTAAAAGATATAAATTAAATACTCAAAATGTGATTATTTTTCGAACCAAAATAAAACCTTACAATTATCGAAATGATATGATTGTATGTTGGCCTACATGTTGGCAGTAGTAATTTTAACTTTAAATAAACGAATTTATTTTACACCTTATACAATATAATCCATGATTTTTTAAGCGTTTAAACTACGTTTTGTTCTTACAGAAATTATTTTCGGATTCAGTATTATCAATTCGCCTCGTTTCGTGCAATATAGGTTTGACAGCAAAAAAAGTCAACAATGTATAATAACCTCATAATATTAGATAATAAAACAATATTATTTGACTTAAGACTACGTTTTAACAAGGAAAGAAAGTGAAAATAAAATCGAAATACCTTCCGCTTCTTGGCATATTCTGAAAGACTTCTCTTCGGTTTATGTGGTCTGACATCATCAACGCCACTGTCGAACTCGCTAGAAGATGTCGATGAATAACACCTATCACGTGACGGTTCTAATAACAGTCCTTCTGATTTAGATTTATTCGAACTATCATTTTCACAATTTAACTTTTTAACATGTTTTCTTTTCCGCATAACTGTATCCTCCATCATAATTGTCATGTGAAGTATAAAATCCAAACTTATTTCCCTTTAAACAAGGCTATGTTTAATGATTTATACTAATTTTAGGATGACAGCTATTCTATTAATACGCATGTCACATTCTCATAAACAATTTGAAATCTTTTTGATCAACACAATTTAAAATAGATACGAGTTGGACTTTGATACAAGGATAACCCTAACAACTATATATATCTTTTATACAACATATGTTAACCGCATTTTAAGGTGAAATAATGTGACATAAAGTTAGGATGATATAACATCAATAATTATCATTAAACAGTACAAATCACCTGTTTAACAAAATTTACATACCTAAATTATCATGACCTTAGTACTACAAAGTCGGTCTTATTTCTAACCTTGTACGTGTACATGTACATGTATGTAAGTAGCTATAATGTGTACTTCTCTCACGCTTGATTACTAATGAAAGTTTATAAATAGAAAACACGCATCATCGAACTATGAAACGTGATACGTTTAATAGCAAGAATTTCAAAATACATCGTACCAAAACTACATAAAAAAAATTACATATTTACAGTATTATATAATTTTGCAAGTGATGATAAATTTTTAATTCAAATAATCAACCTTGACTTTTCATGTCATTATTACCATTTCATTTATGAATTAATATAAAGGAAGAGATAACTATATAATAAATCCTTTGCTTCGAAAATAAAAATAAACCTGATATATCAACCTTGTAGCTTACATGTTGTGTTCATTTGGAGAAATGCGGACAGAATATAAATTTGGAACAAATTGTGAACACTGTTGTATGCAGAAATCTTGAATGTATACATGACTTTGGGCTTGACTTATACTTAAAAATTATGATTATTTTTGGATGCATAACATGTTAAAGCATTTCAAAGTTATTTGTTATTTTACGTTTATTAGTTACTTTTCAAAACAATCATTATAATCTGCGGTATAATCATGAATAATATCGATCGTTCTACTGTCCTTGTGACGCGTGGATGAATAATTGATTAATATGATGTTTAAGAGAGAAACTTATGTTTAAGTTACTTGTACAAGGCACGATACCAAACAATTTAAAATTGATTTACTTTGGTATACAACGACGTTAATTACCTGTTTGATGGGTAAGTTTTTCCTGTGTATATGTCTTTGTTTTTATCACAAAAAGCAATAAGAATCTGATGCATGCAATGGGTATATAAATTTAGGATGGATTTATACAAGGACAGGGGTAAAAAAGTATGCTTGAAATATCTGGAACTAAATATAAAATACATATTAGACATTCAAACAGAGATGCAACTGAGTACTGTAAGAATAAGAATATGAAAAGGTAGTTTGTTAAAAAAATATAATCAGGCCTATTATTACAGAAAATAATCAGTTCAAAAATATACTAAGTATAAATAAACATTTACAGGCTTTGAAACGGAGTGTTGTCCCAGAACGTGTTGTATTTAACCAAAATATAGGCCTATATAGAAATACAACAAGCTTTATATTACATCTTGGCCAGTACCCTTATCCACGCTAAATCCCAAATGAATTTTGTGTTGCTGCTGCTGTATTCTCACCGTGGATGAACAAGTTTTGTCACGTGACCACAAATGCAAACGTCGATTTGTGATTTTGGCATACACAGACCCGATTTCAGGTAATCATTTGCAGATATCTTTTTTTCCACTGCGAACACAAAAATAAGACATAGACCGTAGGACCCGGCGTAAATTAAGCTTTTATTTTATGTGAGTAGTCATTACTAGACTTAAGTAGTTTTTTAGAACACTTCGACACAAATTTTCTTTTTGCAAGGCAAACGCCGATAGCTTTTATCTTTTCTAATCTTTTTTGTTCACTAAAAACCCATGTAGAGGGAAAATAATAAAAGATATATCTTTTTACAAGAAATTCTCGTCCCTAACTTATTAATAATTCCATTGGCATGGTTATATTCGATATAAACACATGTTTTTTCACTTTGTGTCGATTTTGCAAACGTCGTTTGATCATGAGAAATATGCAAACGTCGGTTGGTCATTTGAAATATATACAATAATAAAGTAAACAGACTGTAATAGAAGGTGTGTTAAAGAATGAATGTTGACAGTATTTCGTATCAGACAATGCAGATTCTAGGACATTTGCCCCGGACAGTTGCCCTCCGGATGTTTGCCCCCTCTTTTCCCTTGTGATTTGTCACTTGTCATTTGTGCATAGATTTTTTAGTATTATTTGTTTATGGATGCTATTTTGACTTTCACAAATTTGCGCGAGTTTTTGTGTATTTAAGCACCATGAAATTTCCACAATAGGCGATGAATTATGGTAGCAAACAATTCAACAATAAAATATATTTTTGAACAGGGAGGGGGGGGCAAATGTCCGCCCCTTCCAAAGATAAGAGGGGGCAAATGACCGCCACTGCAAAAAGGGGGCACACTTTCGAGGGGGGCAACTGTCCGAAGGGCAATGTGTGGATACCTAGCAGACACGAAAGACTTACATATGTATATTGTTGGCAAGTGTAAGATACATGAACCGAAACTATATCTTATGTAGCAGATTATAAAGTGTTCTGGAATAAATATGATCGTTCATCATAAAATGTTTTTAAACTAAATCAATTATAACTTTATAAACATTTTAAATCGTAATGAGTATGCTGTGATTTCTGCTATATAGTTTCATAGATATGAACTTGAAGCGTCCATTTTGTTATATTATGAACTTAATTACAGAATAACTATTACTTTAAAAATGACGCGATTAAATAAATGTTAAATGTGTCCTAACTTTGATATGCTACCCATTTTTTTATTCAAAGATTGAATATAGGGATGCTAGAATAATTTCTTAGTTAAAAGAGTTTTAATATTTGATTGCATTTCATGTTTTCTTTGTCTGCGCATAGGCAGGTCTATTTTTTCACGTGTATTTCATGACCGGGTTTGTCTGACTAGAACAGACCTGTGCACGTGCAAAAGATAGACATCATAACGGACTTTCTTTTGTTTAAACAGGTCTATCCGAAAAATATAGACCTGTAACAAACAATAGAGGAGGTGTGTAAGCAAGGATAAAGTGTAGCTGTCGTAAAAAATTAACATAAATGATATTTTGATGCAACTATGTATAAAACTCTGGTGCCGTGCAAAATTGATTATAATACATAAAAATAAACTTAGACAGGAAAATACATACAGATATACAGTACGATTTAGATTGCAAAGATCAGAAAATACCACAGAACTTGCAGCCCTTTGATTCATTATAAATATACATGCTTATAGTAAGCTCCAGGACTATTTACATTTGTGTTAAACAACAGTTCAAGTCGTTAAGTATACAAGCCCTAATTTAGAATAATATGGTTTTCTTCAGGCCGTTCACATATAAATTCACCGTGGCTGAAGGGTTTTCGGCAATATAAAGTGGAGACCTCAATGATGGCTGCAGTGGTGAAAGTTTACGTTCTATTTGAATTTGGTGTTGGCTTTGGCGTGAGTTTTCGTCCGAGGCGTTTACTTTTATATAAAGGTGAACGGTATGTTTGTGCGAACGGTGATTTTCTTGGTGAAAATTTACGCTTTTTCAGTGATGATGGCTTGGGGGAAAAATCTTCGCCGGTGTGAAAATGTCCAACTTGATAAGATTTATGTTTGCGTTTTGGGCGATGCAACGCAAGTTTTGACTTCCTCTTCGCCATCTGAAATAAAAAACAAACTAAATTTAATTAAGCAAACACAATATAGTCCAGCGTTCAAAAAGACATCAACGGGCGCTTGTATATATTTCAAATGACCAACCGACGTTTGCATATTTCTCATGATCAAACGACGTTTGCAAAATCGACACTAAGTGAAAAAACATGTGTTTATATCGAATATAACCATGCCAATGGAATTATTAATAAGTTAGGGACGAGAATTTCTTGTAAAAAATATATCTTCTATTATTTTCCCTCTACATGGGTTTTTAGTGAACAAAAAATATCAGAAAAGATAAAAAGCTATCGGCGTTTGCCTTGCAAAAAAGAAAATTTGTGTCGAAGTGTTCTAAAAAACTACTTAAGTCTAGTAATGACTACTCACATAAAATAAAAGCTTAATTTACGCCGGGTCCTACGGTCTATGTCTTATTTTTGTGTTCGCAGTGGAAAAAAAGATATCTGCAAATGATTACCTGAAATCGGGTCCGTGTATGCCAAAATCACAAATCGACGTTTGCATTTGTGGTCACGTGACAAAACTTGTTCATCCACGGTGATTCTGCTGTACATCATTTTATAAAAGGTACATAATAACTGAATATTTGTAAAATCTTATTGTTGTAGTTGTCTCTCTTGCAATGTTTGTCGTTCAAACAAAAATAACGAGACAATTTTGTACTTATCTATATTTGTATCTTATATATTGTTTGATTTAAGTTTTTATCGACATTATTTATTGACACCATCGTTTCATCTTTTTATTTCTTTTCCCGAAAATGCTCATTTCGTGGAGTCATACAAATACAAGAATAGTTACTCCCCTTTGAATAGAAAGGCCATTTGTAACACTTTTTTGTTTGGAAAATATTTTCTGATACATGATGTTTTAAATCTTAGATCTTGGACAAGTAAAATCGTTTTCTGGTAAAAGGTTTCATATAAGGTGAAAATATCTTAATTTCATAGAAGAAAACACAGTTACGATACCACATTTTAAATTCTTACGTGAAGAGGTAAGTGATCCATAAATTTATATTTTTGAACATAGTTTTCGTTAGTACTACGACGCAACAAATGCTGAAGTTTTGGATATTCTATTATTCACTCTGCAAATGATAATAGCTGGTATATGAGGTCAGGCATTGCTTTCTTGACCCCCAAATTTCAACGTCAACATTCTTGGAATAGACATTAAAATATTACCATTTACGGAGATTGAAATAAATTTATTTACTTAATTTTAAAAGAAACATGCATTTATTGTTGATAAATAAGTGACTGACAACCACTGAACAGAGAAAATACTTAATTAAGCATCTTTGGGCTGTCCGGGTTTGGTGGTTGTCCTGTTTTGGTGGTCCCCAACCAGTAAAGCCTGGTGTTGAATTCTTGGCGAAGATTCTTTTTGTTTTTTTTCTTTTTTTTGTTGCTGTGTAGTTGAGACACAGATATATATACAACGGATAGGAAGCTCTGAAAACAGATGATAGTCAGTTTCAGACCCACAATCCTTTGCGCACTTCCGTGATAATCGGGTTTTCCCACTAGTCTCCGATTTTCGCGCTCTCGTTAAACTTTGGCGATATCCTTGAATTAATGTTTACATTGCCAACATGGATTTTCATCGGAGAAATATTTGTATGGAAAAGTGTGTATTGTATGTTTAAGAATAAATAACTATTGCTTCTTATAAAAGTAGAAAATGATTCGTCTTTTTTGTCAATGTACCTCCGGGAATTCAATATGGCTGTATATTAGCTCCATGTTTGAGAATATGCTTAAAACATACATGCCATAATTTTTAGGCTCATTTCCGGGACACTTTTCATTTGGAGGTGGGGCATTGATCAGCAACCGTATTGTTTATAGAATTTACATAGTGGCATACAACCTATATTACCGGTATTTACAACTTGCAAATTTTCTGACAACATAAACAAGACAAAATGTCAATAATTATTAACAGTGTTTCTATCTTTTTTAAAGTATTATGGCATCATAAATTCTATCAGTCATAGAATAGAATAAAGCTATTTTAAGTAAGAACAATTAGTCATGTCGTTTACCTGAAACATTAGCTGAATCCTGTAGATTTCATCACCTCATATTTAGCAGCAATTTTCATGGTGTTTGACCACTAATAACTGCCTGCAGGCGGATTAAATTTATGATGGCTAGTTGTTAATTACAGTGTAAGACACCTGTGCTCAAGAAGCCACAGGGGGTTAACAATTAATCTTTTAATTGATCAAAATTATTGCCAATAATTGTTTGTTGGAAGGGGCACATAAATTTATCAATTAAAGGATTAGTGTCACCAGTTACTGTATATTGCAATGCTGTATGGGGATAATTGTTCGTTATAAGCATTCTAGAATAGTAAATAAAAACTTGACAATAAGATTTTTTAAAAATGTAAAATTTCTGGCTACAAAGTATATCATTTTAGATTTTTTTTTTATTAGGACATAAATTATCTCCTGGACAGACACCTTATTTCCTGGACTTTCCCGGATGTCTGGAAAGTTATGGCATGACTTATTATTATAATATTATTATTATTGAGGAATATTAACTTTGTTTATTATTTTTTTCAAGATAGGAGGAATAGTTTCCAAGAATAATAAAGTGTAAATAAGCATACACTGCCTAGCAATCAGGTAGTAAAATTCTTAATAGAAAAAACATCTGTTAGATGCTCTTAATTGAATTTTAATTTAACATAAATTAATATGTTGCGACAAACTTTTGTTGTGCATTATACAAAACAAAGTGCTTACTGCAATGGAACTTGCAAGGTCAACAACTGTGGCAGATATAGGACTGGAAAATTCGACACAATAATTTTTGTCTGTTATTTGTATTTCTGGGAAAATATTGCAAATTTACAATATTAGAAAAACCTTGTTATGAATGTTTATCTCCAGTTATGTGTTTTATATGTTTAGAACACATTCTAATGATAGTAATTAGTAGAAACAAGTGTCAGCGATAACTTGACTGCTTTTTGGATAGTCGAATCATTCGCATGACCTGTCATTTGCAAGCGGAATTGACACCCGAAAATATGGGAACAAGATATACATTGCAACGTCTTATTTACAGACCCCTTCATAAGTTCCTTTAGCAAAACATGCAGCGATTTTGAAGCGCAGCATAAACTGTCGTAATTTACTAAAAAAAACAATATTTTGAGTCAAAGAGTATGCAGACAATAAATTTAAAGTAACATGCCTCCAGATGAGTCAAAATATTTCATTAAAATCAAACACTAAGATGTAAGGAAAATTAATAAGTTGCAAGATTCAAGTAATATTTTACATATTATGTGCGATTAATGACTGATTTTTTCAGTATTTACAACTACAATTTATATTTCTACTGCATTACTAATGCAGTAAAGGCTATTTATGCATATTTTGACCACTTTTTGGTAATTTACATGGTTTGTAAGTGCCATTGATAATGTGTAAATTGCTTCCTTTTGGTTACTTCACAATATAACACATTCAAATACATTTTCAAAAGTTTCATGAAAATTAGCATGAATATGGAGGTGTGTTGCTTTAAACATTTCTGCATAAATGTGCTACAAAAAAAAAAAGAAAGGGAAATTAATTTTGTTTACAGTATATCAGGATTTGTATTACACCACATGTAATTATATACAGGTAACATGGCCGAATGTATATATTGGTAAAAGTGGAATAGATTGTATTGGATTGGATATACTTGCATTCGTAGATGAGCCATTTATTTCTTTTATTGCACATTTATGCAAAAAGGTTTATATTTAATATTTTTTGTGTATTTTTAGTAAAAATAAAGTATAATTATTGAGTTATAATAGTTTATGTAGTGGTTCAAAATCGCTGCACGTTTTGCTTAAGGAACTTATAAAGGAGTCAATATAACGTTGGTGGAGTGTACGTAGTACTAACCGAACGTCTTCTGTTATAGGACTATTTGAACTGTTGATATATTTTTTTGTCTTTAAAAAAGATTCCAATTTGAAAGACCCTGAATTTGTACTACATATACTGTAAACATGTATCGCCAATTCTACCATTAACAAGTGGTACTAAACATGAAGATTTGCATAGATCATTAGATCAAGGAGTTTAATACCTTGACTGTTACTAATTTTGTCTACTGAGGCCAGGAAAAGGTTAAAGGTTGTTAATAAAAAATGTTCTTGGTTACAAATTTTGATGGTTCTCATTATTTAAGCTGGCAGCAGATGTTACAATTTATAATTTTCATTATATGGTCCACAGTAACTGTGTCAGCAGGTAGTGCTATATGACAAAATGATTATGTACTCACAAGTATCAGTCTGTCAGTGAAAAATTGATTAAACAATAACATGTAAACTATCTATTTCTTAGGTTTTAAGACAGCTGACAGGACAAATCCTCTGCAATGGGAAAGGAGAAGGGCGGGTTTTTGCCCCCAAAGGGAAATTTTGCCACAAATTTAAAGGAAAAAGGGAAACCTTAAAAGTTAAGGGTGGTTTTGTAGAGTGTCAGAAGCAATTTTCGAGATGAATTTAAGTATAAAATTTTAAATTTGGGGCCTACAACCGGGAATAGTTTAAATTGTGATCTCCCCAAAAGGGTTTTATGTTTTTTCGTTTTGAAGAAATAGAATTTTAAAGGGGTTTGGGAGCTAGTCCAAATTTTTAGGGAGGTGACTTCTCCTCCAGCTGATTGTTAGGTAAGGGAGGAGAATTTTAACTTTAATATGTTTTAACAAAAAAAAACCCAAGCCGGAAATTTCAATAATAATATTTAATTAAAATAAATCCAATCAGAAGTCTAAAACCAATGAGATAAGTTGATATGACCAGAGGTCAACTTGATACAAATAAAAACTTTATAACTCACAAGAATTAATCGATTTTAACAGGTGTATTAAAATACACTAACTGAGTTCAAAGTCTTAATAAAATAATAGATACAAATCTTCATATAATTTCTACAGATTTGTGCTACGATGCTTTTTAACAATTGAGTTTTCGCTTATATTATCGGATCAAAAAAATTGCTTAAAATGAAAACTTTATAACAACATCATCTTTACATTTGGCTTGTAATGATTAAAACTTTTTGAATTCTGAAATTTTTAGTTAAATTATGTTTTATAATTTATATATTTTAATTTAAATTATCTTCTTATAAAAGGTAAACTTTATAAGGATGGCAGACAGAATTACTCATTCAGTGACTTATAATTGACTCAGTTTTGCCATAAATTGTTGGGTAAAGAGATAATAAACTGTTTCAAATGTTTTAAAGATAAGAATTTTTTGCAAGATTTGAACTTCATATTTAGCAATTATTTTATATGCCCTTAAGATAACAATTCAGTGATAGAATAGCTAAAAGAATTATCTTTGTCATGTGTATTTGCGGTTTATTTTTACTCGCCACCGGTTGCCCATATGGGCGAGTCCCCAGAAGAGTATTAGTCCATTTTAGATTTTTGGAGGATAGTGCAATTACAGATACAGAAAGATTGCCCCAATTTCCAGAAGCTTCTCCTGGTTCTTTAGCGTGCCAAGTGTTTAAGCACCCATACACGGGACCTCGATTTAAAGTCTCATCCAAAAGACTGATTAGTAATTTTAGTTGGCCAGCCCGGGAATCGAACCCACAATGTCGAGATTACAAGTCTCGCGCTCTAACCGATTGAGCTATGCGGGCTGGCTAGAGAATTATCTTGATTACAAGTGTGAGAATGTTTTAATTGTTTACTTATTTGCATATTTAAATTGTTTGCTTATTTGCATATTTAAATTGTTAACTTATTTGCATATTTCAGAATGGTTTCAAATGTCACATGATGTCAGAATCCCACCAGCGACAGTTGTTGCTGTTTGCTGAAAATCCTGATGAATATGTAGACACATTTTCTAAGTAAGTGTATTACATAAAGCTATTGTTTTTAATTAAATAAAGAATTGAAGTTATTTTATATGAAATGACGAAATGGTGTAATTTCTATATTTTTATACCCTAATTGGTTTTTATCAGAAGATTTTAAATTAATAAAATATTCCATTGTTCATTTTGTGACTTTTTTGCAAGCATATTTTTTTGTTGCAATTCCTATATAACTTTATACCCTTTAAAGCAAACATTAGTTTCAACAAATCTAAATACTTAGTACAAAATGTGTCAAAGAAGACCCAAGTCTCAAGAGCATTTTTTTGTTTGTTAACTTTTAGTACACCACTGTTGATTTTCCTTTTCTTTTTAGTATAGTTATCTTCATTTCTTCCATTTATTTCAGTATATAATATCTTAAAAAGATCTATTAGCTATTTATTTTTAACAAATTTCTGACAACACATTTATTTTATTTCTTTATTTATAGAGATTTTAGAGATGGTTACGTGGAGTTATTGAGGCGAAGGTTTGGTACTAAGAGAGTACAGTGTAATATTGTATATCAGGAATATATAGCTGAACGAGACCACACTCACATGAACTCTACACAATGGGAAACATTGACAGATTTTGTAAAGTGGCTCGGAAAAGAAGGTACATGTACAATTATGTCAAATCCATCATCATACTTTTCTGTAATTATTATGTATGTTTTGTACATGTATTTATTCACAAAATTAATGAATGTACTTGTATATACAAATGTTTATGTTAAATTATAAACCGCCTATCATAAAACTTGGCGATGAACATGTTTATAAAATGTTTATGTCAATAAACTATTTGACTTGACATAATCTAGTTTAGCTTGAGGAAAATTTGTGATACATGTTGTTTCAGAAACAATGCACGAAGGTGTATGCCATGTCTATCTGAAGATGCTGAAAAGTAATAAGTACAGTAATGGTGCATCTTTAATCCAGGCAAAAAAAAACCTTAACATGTGACATATATTGTACAGGAATGAATTTATGCTTTTATTCAAAATTCTGGTCATCTTGAAAATGTTGTTGTTAAATACAGCAAATATTAAATATATTCTTTTTGTTTAGCACCACTTCACAGGCCCGTCGTCACGATTTTGTGATTGGTGCGGCCAATTTGATTGGTTAAAGGTAGAATGTAGGGGGGTACGGGGGCATGCTCCCCCGGAAATTTTTTTATTCTAGGATGCTCTCAGGGGCGTTTTCCAGTATATTTGGCACAGTTTACAGCATGCCGCTAGTACATGTTATAGTAATATTTCAACGATTTTTTACAGATTCAAGTGCGTCGTAAGTTTTAAGGGTGAAATTTAAGGTTCGCATGACGGACGGACAGGTGTACATAAAAGATGAATACATGTAATTGATATTTGGCAAATGAAAAATAAACAATAACTGATGTTATTATAATTCTTTAGATGCATTTTTATCTGATGATTAAAAAGAAATATTACAGTAAGTGGATTATTGTTTAGCATAAATCACACAATGGTATAAGCTTAAATAACAATCGATGACATAATGGAAGAATAGTACATAACGAGTCAACAATAACCACTTTTTGTTTAGCAGTAGCTTGTTTTTTGTTACCAATAATCTTACACAACAAAGAGTCTCATTTTATGTAAATTTTCCAAAAACACATCGCCGTCGTTCTCTGGTAGTAGTGAACTCATCGGCAATTACATGTACGTTGAGTGGATCTGTCCAGTTAACACCATTAGATTGTTCACAGGAACTTGAAATTCTATCAATATTAATGATAATATCCAAAATGTACCCCCTATACAGTATAAATAAACGGTTATATTTTGGATATTATCATTAACAGATTAGTATTGATAGAATTTCAAGTTCCTGTGGATTGTTCAAACGTACTTGAGACAGTGTCGATCTCAGGTATGTCTTAATTCTTCTGAACGCCGAGAATGTCCTTTCGTAGCAGGCATTACTAACAAAATCTTAAACAACACAACAACCTCAGAGAACAGTGCTCGTTCTAGCACCGACTGTTCTGACGCAACTTTCAAAATGTCGGGTAGAGTAACAGTACTATTTTCTGATTTGTCAAAATGTGAACGTAGCAGCTGAAGCTGCTCATCTAAGATGTTAATATCGTTAACACCGACGCGATCACTCTCACTTTGAAGTTTAATCCATAAAGAATCAAAACTGTCGTCTGACCTCATGTCTATCAAGCTATATAGAGTCCACTTTGCTAGCCGCTGGCCCTCGGATGCTGACAGTGAAACTGTTGAGGAGATTTGCTGAGGTTGTCTGTCAATGCTAGGATGTCGTGTGCGAGCATTACACCGAAAAAGTTCTCGAACTTGACTTCGTAGGACTCCTACATATACCTGGTCAATTAATTGTGTGCAGTTGTTTCTTCGCATCATGTTTGTATATTACCGCGCATTGCATAAGGGGCCAGTTAAGTGCCAAATTGCTAATCAGCGATGCGTTTTTGTTTTTTTTTTGTTTTTTTTTTTTTTACTCATTTTTGGCCAAAATATTGGTCCGGCCAAGGCCGGACCCATTGACGATGGCCTTGCTTCATGGATCACTTGATTGACATCAAAACAATTTTTTTTTAAATAGATTTAACTTCCCTTTGTCAGTATCAACACAAGCACTTTGATGCCACAGTGAAATGTAGCATAGATATTCAATTTTTAAATCATTATGTGTCATTCAGTCAGCATTTATATGACCATTTGGCTTGAGTTACGGATAAACTTAAAATTTCCGGTTAATGAATTTTAGTTTCAGCTGGATTTTGTTCCTTAAAATTTAATACTTCCATTTTATGAATTTTAGTTTTCAGCTGGATTTTGTTCCTTAAGATTTAATACTTCCATTTTATGAATTTTAGTTTTCAGCTGGATTTTGTTCTTTGTACACCATTGAAGTTGTTTACATAAATATAACCTTGAATACTTGTTTGTTACCTGTATACCTGACAATAAAACTATAAATATATTTCAGGATTATGTGAGGTAGATTATACAGAGAAAGGATGGTTTGTCAAATACATAGATAGAGATCCAGAAACTATACGTAAAATGGAGCAAAGTAAGTTTATGTGATAACATGTCACACTATGTGTTGTTTCCCTTTGAATGTCATCTGTCTATAGTTTGTATCAATAACATGTTTATTTTCATCAAATTATTGGTAGTTATTAATCATTATTTTAAGTGGGGAACAGAATCTTGATCTTGAAATGTTTATAACTTTGTTAAAGATTTTCTGGCTCAATTCATGATAATCAAAATAAAACAGAAAACAAAAAAAGCAATGTCTCATATAAGCAATAGCAGTTTTCTGACAGCATTTACATATGTTTTAATGCAGCACTACAACTTCTAACACTGATTGAGAGGGGTACTTAAGTCGGCTGCCTCTCAATCTGCATCATGAAACCTTTTGGGTTTTTTTGCTACATATATTTTGTATGTTTTACTGTTGTATGTAGATAAAGTAAAAGAACGGATGGACATGGATGATAACGAGAGAATGGCCAAGTTAATACAGGAACAGGTAGAAAGAGGAGCAAAAACTGAGAAAAATGTGAAGGAGTCAGAATATACAGAACTTAAAAGAGAAAGTGAAGATGAAAAAGGTTTGTTATTTGATATTGCTGTCATGCTGCCTGTGTGTTGACTGACAAAACAGTGAAATATGGGGCATCCATGTCCTATGCGCATATTTCTTCTTGTTTATTCAAATAAATAGACAGTATTGTAATTTCATTAAGTGTGTAAGATGAATGAGGCTAGATTTCCAAAAAATATATCTTCATTTTGCAGCAAAAACATTTGGGTTTGAACTCATAGTTGCTGATTTTTAGCCACACGTTCTTTCTTTCTTTTATTATGAGTTAAATTCTAGGACAGTGTAAATTCTTATGTAGTGTTAGACCTTTGATAACTTTTCCACTTTTCATGTGACCATTCAGGGCCATCTAACTGTAAATAGATTAAAAATTGAACAATAGAATTCATTCTGTAACAATAGAATAAGGGGCCAATGATCCTTCATTAAACGAAAGAAAATAACAAAAGAAATGGCCTATTATCGTAATTTGGTCATATATCTGCACTTCTTCACCAAAACTACCAAAAATTTTAATTAGACTTGACTGTAGTATTTAATGACATGCCTACTTGGGCATACTGTATAAGTATTTTTTTCTGGGAGAAACTTATTTTTGCGGTTCATAACGAAACTGCAGTTTAAAAAACACAGAAATTTAAGCCTTTCCCTTGTTTATGTTGGAATATATGGACTACTGGTATTGTATTATTACATTACCATGTATGTTATTGTCTTTTGTAGAGATTAACAATATTGGGATTTTCTTTATGTATCCGTCTTGAATAAAAGATTAGAAAAAATTGTTACTTGGCTTGTTCCACTGTTTTAATTTTCTCATTTTAAAATATATTTAAGGATACCTTTGTTTGTTATTATAATAGCCCATTTCACTACGATTTCTCACGTAAATTAGCGAAGTGCTACGATCAGATTCCAAGCATATAATCAACTGACCAATCAAATGCTGATGGATGCATGTACAATCTATTACTAATAATAGTAACATAAAAATAAACAAAGGAAATTTACATGGCGGATTCTTATCACAAAGTTGAAATATTTCGAGAAATATGCGTTATACTGCATAGTTAACTCATTGACGATAATGCATCAGTTTAAACTTCTCTCCTATACCTAACGCCACGATAACGAGTCGATATCGACTTTACACCTGTCCTGCATGCCACATATATGCGGCTAGATAAGACTTGCTTTACTTCCCGGTCGCCACGTTGTAGTGTCGTAAATCATTGGTTGTTTTCAAGGTATTCCCCGAGAATATTTAAATATTAGCCAATCAGAAATCGTCAGCATTTGAGCTTACATTTGAGACTGATGCGGAGGATAATCCATTGGATTCTGATAATGAAATGTTTAAATTTGACATCAGAAAGTAGTTTAAAAAATGAAAGTAGGGATTTTGACTGAAGGGGATTATGTCCGTACACCAAAATGAAAGTGTTTGTGGGAGTTTTCCAGAAGAATAAGCATTTTTTAATTCAATAGACACTCGCTCATCAGCCGCTGAATCACCCGCCATTATCGTAAATATAAACAATACATGTACACTCGAGAACCAGTATTTCATTGGTCAAACATATTAGCACTTTACCTCCCACGTGATGCGTGTCTACGAATGTTTCCGATAAATTACGAAAGGCTGGTGAAATGGGCTATAAAACCTGCAATAATAAACTGTTTTTTGGCTTATTTTGTACAAATATTTTAATCAAAATGCAGGAATAATACGAGAATGATGACACCAAAGAAATAAGATAAGCAGAAATTAAAAACCCCTTATTTAAACAAAAATCACAGAATATTAAGCCTGCTGAAATAAGTACTTTAACAGTATTTTTAGTAAGCAGCTGAATTATAGTACATGTATTATCAATGTTATTGTGTTATTTTCTGTACTTCAGTGGTAGTCTCGCTTGGAGCAGCAAAAAAAGTAGATGTTCCAAAGTAAGTCTATGTGATTTTTAATTTGCTTACAAAAACTACTTGTATTATTTTTAGCTCACCTGAGCATGCTCAGGGTGAGCTTTTAGGATCGATGATTGTCTGTCGTCCGTCGTCTGTTCACATTTTGTTGTTAACACTCTAGCGGTCGCATTTTTGCCTCAATCATCATCAAACTTGGTCAGGATGCTTATCTAGTTGATAGCTCGGATGAGTTTGAACATGGGTCATCTCGGATGAAAAACTAGGTCACAAGAGCTAAAAATAGAAAAACCTTGTTAACACTCTAGAGGTCACATTTTTGCCTCAATCATCATCAAACTTGGTCAGGATGTTAGTCTAGGTGATAGCTCGGATGAGTTCGAACATGGGTCATCTCGGATGAAAAAGTAGGTCACCGGAGCTAAAAATAGAAAAACCTTGTTAACACTCTAGCGGTCACATTTTTGCCTCAATCATCATCAAACTTGGTCAGGATGCTTGTCTAGGTGATAGCTCGAATGAGTTCGAACATGGGTCATCTCGGATGAAAAACTAGGTCACTGGAGCTAAAAATAGAAAAACCTTGTTAACACTCCAGCGGTCACATTTTCAACTCAATCATCATCAAACTTGGTCGGGATGCTTATCTAGTTGATAGCTCGGATGAGTTCGAACATGGGTCATCTCGGATGAAAGCTAGGTCACAAGAGCTAAAAATAGAAAAACCTTGTTAACACTCTAGCGGTCACAATTTTGCCTCAATCATCGTCAAACTTGGTCAGGATGTTTGTCTAGGTGATAGCTTGGATGAGTTCGAACATGGGTCATCTCGGATGAAAAACTAGGTCACCGGAGCTAAAAATAGAAAAACCTTGTTAACACTCTAGAGGTCACATTTTTGCCTCAATCATCATCAAACTTGGTCAGGATGTTTGTCTAGGTGATAGCTTGGATGATTTCGAACATGGGTCAACTCGGATGAAAAAGTAGGTCACCAGAGCTAAAAATAGAAAAACCTTGTTAACACTCTAGCGGTCACATTTTTGCCTCAATCATCATCAAACTTTGCCAGGAAGCTTGTCTAAGTGATAGCTTGGATGAGTTCGAACATGGGTCATCTCGGATGAAAAAGTAGGTCAGTGGAGCTAAAAGTAGAAAAACCTTGTTAACACTCTAGCGGTCACATTTTTGCCTCAATCATCATCAAACTTGGTCAGGAGGCTTATCTAGGTGATAGCTTGGATGAGTTAGAACATAGGTAATCCTGGATGAAAAACTAGGTCACCTGAGCTTAAAATAGAAAAACCTTGTTAACACTCTAGAGGTCACTATTTTGCCTCAATCATCATCAAACTTGGTAAGGATGTTTGTCTAGGTGATAGCTTGGATGAGTTCGATTATTGGTCATCTCGGATGAAAAACTAGGTCACAGTAGCTAAAAATAGAAAAATCTTGTTAACACTCTAGTTTCTACTGTTTTGATCCAAATATCCTGTAAATTGGTCTGAAAGTTTGTTTTGATGATTTCTAAGTCAAGTTCGAACATGGGTCATCTTGGATGAAAAACTAGGTCAAACCGCCCAAATTTGGAAAAACATTGTTAACATTCTAGTGGTCACATTTTCTACTCAATTATCATCAAACTTGGTCAGGATGCTTGTCTAGGTAATTGCTCGGATGAGTTCGAAATAGCATGTGAAACTAGTCACGGGAGCTAGAAATAGAAAAATCTTGTTAACACTCTAGTTGCTACTGTTTTGATCCAAGTATCCTGGAAATTGGTCTGAAAGTTTGTTTTGATGATTTCTAGGTCAAGTTTGAATATGGGTCACCTGGGTAAAAAACTAGGTCACACTGCTCAAATATGGATAATCCTTGTTAACACTGTAGTGGTCACATTCTTGTCCGTCCGTCGTCCATCTGTCCGTCCGTTGTCCGTCCGTAAACTTTTGCTTTAAATGACATCTCCTCATAAACCACTGAGCCAATTTCATCCAAACTTCATAGGAATGTTCCTTTGGTGGTCACCTTTAAAAATTGTCCAAAGAATTTAATTCCATGCAGAACTCTGGTTGCCATGGCAACCGAAAGAAAAATCTTTAAATATCTTCTTTTAAACAACCCTAAGAGCTAGAGCTTAGATATTTGGCATGAAACATCTTCTAGTGAGTGTCTACCAAGTTTGTTCAAATAAAAGCCCTGGGGTCAAAATTGGCCCCGCCCCAGGGGGTCATAGATTTTCCCTATATGCATATAGTAAAAACTTAAAAAATCTTCTTTTAAAGAACCCAAAGAGCTAGAGCTAAGATATTTGGCATGAAACATCTTCTAGTGAGTGTCTAACAAGTTTGTTCAAATTAAAGCCCTGGGGTCAAAATTGGCCCCGCCCCGGGGGTCATTGATTTTCCCTATATGCATATAGTAAAAACTTAAAAAATCTTCTTTTAAAGAACCGTAAGAGCTACAGCTTAGATATTAGGCATGAAACATCTTCTAGTGAATGTCTACCAAGTTTGTTCAAATAAAAGCCCTAGGGTCAAAATTGGCCCCGCCCCAGGGGGTCATTGATTTTCCCTATATGCATATAGTAAAAACTTAAAAATCTTCTTTTAAAGAACCCAAAGAGCTAGAGCTAAGATATTAAGCATGAAACATCTTCTAGTGAGTGTCTACCAAGTTTGTTCAAATTAAAACCCTGGGGTCAAAATTGGCCCCGCCCCGGGGGGTCATTGATTTTCCCAAAATGCATATAGTAAAAACATAAAAAATCTTCTTTTAAAGAACCATAAGAGCTAGAGCTTAGATATTTGGCATGAAACTTCTTCTAGTGAATGTCTACCAAGTTTGTTCAAATAAAAGCCCTGGGGTCAAAATTGACCCGGCCCCAGGGAGTCATAGATTTTCCCTATATGCATATAGTAAAAACTTAAAAAATCTTCTTTTAAAGAACCCAAAGAGCTAGAGCTAAGATATTTAGCATGAAACATCTTCTAATGAGTGTCTACCAAGTTTGTTGAAATAAAAGCCCTGGGGTCAAAATTGGCCCGCCCCAAAAACTTAAAAAATCTTCTTTTAAAGAACTCAAAGAACTAGAGCTAAGATATTTAGCATGAAACATGTTCTAATGGGTGTCTACCAAGTATGTTCAAATAAAAGCCCTGGGGTCAAAACTGGCCCCGCCCGGGGGGGGGGGTGTCATTGATTTTCCTTATATGTGTATAGCAAAAACTTAAAAATCTTCTTTGAAAAAAACCCAAATAGCTAGAGTTTAGATATTAAGCATGAAACATCTTTAAGTAAATATCTACAAAGTTTGTTCAAATAAAAGCCCGGGGGTCAAAACTGGCCCTGCCCCAGGGATGTCATTGTTTTTAACTATATGTGTATAGTAAAAACTTTAAAATCTTCTTTTAAAAAAACCAATGAGCTAGAACTTAGATGTTTAGCATGAAACTTCTTCTTATGGGTGTCTACCAAGTCTGTTCAAATAAACAAATAAAAGCCCTTGGGTAAAAATTGGGGTGGGGGGGGGCCTATATACAGGTGAGCGACCTCAGGGCCATCATGGCCCTCTTGTTTCTAACTTGAGCCATATTCACCTGGGCTACTAGAATCTAGTTCCTTTTGGCACTGTGATTTAAAAAAAATTAAACCTTAAAGTTCTTCATGAGTATGGTCAAATTTTGATGGCTTGAAATCAAGTGATCTGTTGAAATAATTATCCATCATTGAGTTATATTGTGTTGTGTTCTGAATATGCTGTATGAAAGAAAAAGTAGTGAACAATGTATCATATATATTCTAAGTTGTGCTTCTAATTGCAGGCCCCTTGCCGTAGAAAATCCTTTCAAAATGCCATCTTCAAAAGATAAACATTCTGATAAGCCTGGAACAAGCCAAAAAGATAAAATGCCCAAGTCTGGTGGAAAAAGGAAGTCAGCTCTTGATGAAATAATGGAGTTTGAAGAGCAGAAAAAAGAAAAAGTGAATAGAAAAGACTATTGGTTACATGAGGATATAGTAGTGAAAGTGATTTCCAAAAAACTTGGTGATAAATATTACAAGCAGAAAGCTTATGTAAAGGTTTGTATATTAGACCGGATTTCTTTGCATGATAGTACAGGAAGACTTATACTTGAAGAAAGTAAAATTTATGAGCTTTTTAATACAGTTCTGAGGTCCTTTAGTTAAGCCCTTATTTGTGAAGTAGTCTGTCATATTTGTTCATTTAAATTTTGACCAAATATTTGTTTACCTAAAATAATGAGTTTTAATTTAATATTTAATTTAGGACTTAGTGTTGCTTCTTTGGTTTTGTTATTAACAAGTTCTGGCCCTTGATTTAGTCAAAAAGTATGCATTAAAAGAGACGTAACAACACAGTTTATACAGGTAGTGAAACTGTACATTTCAAGCATTATGTTTTATTTTTTCAAATATTTCTAACTTATCTGTATCAGTAGAGAAAGCGTAAGCTCTTCAGCACAGAATATATTTAGTTAAGTGTATCAAATAATATGGTATAGGACAGTTTGTTTAACACCCTTAGCCTGTGTGTGCTGTTTCAATTGACATGTCCAGATGATAAAAAAATGTACTGCAAGAACAAGGTACAAAAACAAAGGAGATTTCTCAGGTAGTTTCCATCAAGTATATATATATGAAGGACATTGTACCCTGAATAATCTCATTACGTATGATACTAAATATATTATATTTTCTCTGTAGAGAGTTGAGGACTTATATGGAGCTATCATAAAAATGTTGGACTCTGGGGACAAAGTCAAGGTAGATCAATCACATCTAGAGACAGTCATACCTGCTACAGGTAATATATCACTTACTCCAATCTGGCCCGAGGTTATAAAACCTTTTCCTGATATCAAGCTAGAATCTCAGGATTTTCATTGGTCAATTCACATTTTATGCCTGTTTCGGACCAATCAAATACCTGAGATCACAGTTTGAGATTAGAATATTTCTTTATAACCTTCGCCCCTGGTCATCTTATAACCAGTTTCATAAATACATAAAGAAAAGCATAATGTGGTGTTTAAAAATTTCTTAAAAAATCTATCAAGAAACCTGATGATGGTTGAATTGTGTGAACCTTTAGGTATCACTACATTCCATACCAGAATTCCTTTGAATTGATTGTTTAATATAGGTAATTTCTCTGAGACAAGTGAGTGTTTTCACAAAGTTTTATGTTGGTATGTATACATATTGACTCAAACAAACAGCTTTTTGCAGATAGGTGTCTTCTTGATCCTCAAATTAGACTGCATGGTGTTTTATCATGTAGGTAGTGTAAGATAAATTAAGGTAGTAATGTTTCTGTTACAAAATTATAACACAGGATAAGGATCATAATGATTTTCTTTGTGTATTCTTACTGTCAGTTTACATTCTGATATTATACCTCATTTGCATATGCTCTTCTATATTTAATATGACGTCACCCGGTCCATAAACCGCATACAGACCGGGGGCGGTCCATAATTCTTATGAAGACCGTTTAAACGTAACTTTCACGACGTGCGAATTTCACGACGACACAAACAGAATGGCCAGGCGATTTGCCTTTTTATCAGAGACATAAATTTATTACATGTTGATCAAAAGTTAATTTAATTATAAATTTTATTTATACAGTTTTTGAAATTCTTAAAGTTCGGGTTTTTGGCCTAGTAACATTAAAAATTTAATTTGATTAACAAAAATGGAATATTAAAAGAAGGGCATGATTTTTTGCTGCATCGCTTGAAAATAATAAAACAAAATCCGACTAGGGTTTTGGATATTTCACACACTGAACAAATAAAATTATTATTTGAAAGAGAATAATAGTAAAATGACAGCACAAAACAAATGGATAAAAGATTTGGTTTCGGTATAATATAACAAATAAAACATGGGCTTGAGGGCAAAATGCAAGTTTACGGACTGGTTGGTCAGACCTCGAAAGGAATATGGCCCTCAGCTGTGCTTCTGGCCATATACCTTCCTCAGTCTGACCAACCAGTCCGTAAACTTGCATATTGCCCTCAAGCCCATGTTTTATTTGTTAATTATTTATTTCTAGGTAAAACAGTGATGATAGTAAATGGTGCATACAGAGGACAAACAGCTAGACTAGAGAAGATTAATGAGAAAAAATTTAGTTGTACTTTAACACTCAGTTCAGTAAGGATACTTTATGTTTTTATATCTTAATAAGTGTTATGTTTTTCAATGAGATACTAAAAATTGTCAGTTTGATATAAGTCACACTGTTTAAGATGTAGAATAGGGTCCCCTTTCTAAGTTTCTATTTGTTCACAAATACGGTACAAATGAACACATATTTGGTATTTGGTATATTTTCATGACACACTGTAAAAAGCCATAAAAATGAAGACAATTTTTGTAATAACTGGCAAGTTTAATGATCAAGCAATATGTGATGTAAGATATAATGAAAATTGTTCTTTTTAGTGAATATTGACAATGCCTAATTTCTATATATCACTCCTGTGAAAGGCTCCCTGTTATTTTTTAACACTTTCTTGAAACAAAAATAAGTTGTCAGTAGGTGTTTCATACCAATGTATGAAATAGGTATGAAGTAACTTCATTATAAAGATTTTTTTGAGTGAATTTTATCACTTATAGACTGTATTAGTTTTGTAAACATGAGATATCAGATTAAACTGAAAACAGCCAAGTGATATAATAGCTTTGGTGCAGGAAAGAAATGATCATCACCTTAGTGCAGTAACGGGTTAACTCCTATTTATTTATATAAGGAGTTAGCCTGTTACTGCACTTAGGTAATGTGATATAGATGTTCATTGCTTCAGGACATTTACGGATGACTTTGTTGACTGGTCAAACAATTCTTACATGTACTCTGATTTTTAACAAGTCATAGAAATCAGACATGTTTCAATTTTTTTTCAGGGTCCATTAAAAGGGAGGCAGTTGGAGAATATACCATATGAAGATATATGTAAAATTTACCAGCCATCTTGAAAGAACACAACATATCATCTATGAAACAATGTACTTCAGTAACCTTACAAAGTTGATCTGACTCATTCAGTAGAATGGGAAAACTCTGCTGCTATAGAACACAACGTTTGTCAGTTGTTTATAACATCATCTTCAGTGTAAATGATAGCTTTAACTATGTTCTCACATGACAAGTATGTTTTATTTATGTCATGTTGGCAGAAGCAAATTTTATTTCAAATTATCTTGATCATAGAATTTCTCTTATGAAATTTGGATGAAATCAAAATCTAATATTTCAAACTTATTAAATCATTATTGTATTAAAATACATGTAAATGTTAAAAAAAAGTTGACTTAAAAAAAGGAAGAGCTTTTTAAGAATACTCTTTAGTTTTAAGATACTATGTATATTTGTATATTCTCTGTTTTTAAACCATTGCAGTTATATATTCTTCTTATTTATCAGGAAAATATGTGATTATCATTTGATAGTTTTATTTTGTTTCCATGTGTATCATAGCGAGCTCGACGAGCTGGCCCGAAGGGCCTGCTCGCAAAGCGAGCTTTACGGTAACGCGAGTACCTGCTAAGTGGTGGTTTTGAAAACTTTCGTCCAAAGTACCGAATTGGACACATCGCAACCTTTCGAATTTAAAGATAACGATAAAAACTGAGGAATTCTGACTGAAAACGGATGTGTAGACTGGTCACCCGCGCACGTTTATGGGAACCACAATTGGGCAGGGAACCAGAATAACGGAAGCTGTGTATAAAAAATGAAAATCGAAGGCGCCATTTTGTTTGAAATCTGATAAAAACAATTTTTGTCGAATTTTGTTGTGAAAACTATCTAGAATGAAAGAAAGTGGTCTAACTAAGAAAATGAATCCGAACACCAATATCTTTTATTCAGTCGTTAACGCTGTACAGACGTTTAAAATATTGTTTACGTGACGTCACAATGTAGCGCCAAACAGCACGTGCAAAACAAACAAATCAAGTACGCTATTTGAATGTCGTAAACGTTTTAAGTTTTACATTTATTTTACTTTAAATAATCTTTATTTCGCTTGAAAAAAATATACAGTAGAGTGAAATAAAATAAACAAAGTTTTATCAACGTTTTCAAAACTCGTTATTCATTTCACGACAGGGGCGGAGCCATATTTAACACAGTACGTATGACGTTACACGCACTCGTTACTGCATTTGAATTAAAAATGAGCGATTATTTCATACTATTTCACGTAAAAAGTACATCGAGCTCGCTTTGAGGCTTTGCCTTTTTCATATTATAATGTAATTATAGGTAATATACCAATAGTTGCAGATAGGGATTAAACGATGATCGAGTATAATCGAAAATTGATCAGTTATAGAACCGATCGGCGATGATATATTACAAAGTTTAATAATCGATCATCGGCAATTTATTTTCTTGCTGTTACTTAAGTGACTAACTGTATTATAACAACACTCTAAATTAAAGCCAGTTTTGTTTGAAACAATAATTTTCATTCAATTGAATATGAAAGCATACTGGTGACCATTGAGTTAATAGTTGACAATCAGGCATGCTATTATAAAGGTATACTATGCTCAAATTTGACATTAGAAAATATTTAAAATTGTTATACCTTCTATTTGTAAATATAAAATAAACATGTTTTGACTTCACACAAAAAGATATGTTATGTATAAAATTATTCTACTCACTATAGGTGGTTGCAATATCAATATATAATGTCGTTAAAAAATACCGGCAGTTTTGTTAAGAACAGGTCGACCAACTTAACTTGTTCCCATACATACAGTAGTTTATTCATTCCTTTTTAGAAAGTGAGACATAATAATTTCATAGATTTTAATGAATTTATTTGATTAAAATATTTTACTCAAGGATGATCATAGTATATCTTAAAATTAATTTATTTCAGTTGATAAAGTGGTGGTTACATGGAAATGGAATTCTTATAAATATTAAAGCATGATAATTATGTACATTATACTTTTTTACTTTGTTATCATAAATATTTCGATTATATAATCGATGATTGATCGAAAAGGGTTGTTCGATTATTTTCAATGATCGATTATGATTTTTGCCCGATTAAGAAACCCTAGTTGCAGACATTTTATGCTTGAGAGGTCTCGGATCTCTTACGTAATGGATATTGTTTGAAATTACATCTTTTACATCTCCATCCAAATAGTGTATAATAAAGTTGAATACAATATTATACTAATTTCCTTTTCAATTATGGATATCAAGTTTTAATGTTTCAGGATTATCTAACATTTGGAATTCACTTTTGTTACATTCACCTGTAAAGGAAATTAAGTTTGAAAAATCACCTAAGAAACTGTAATGTCAGAAGCTAAGATTTTGTGTAGTATAACCTTGTAGCTATATAAATCATGGAAATGAGCTCTTCTTCAAACACTTCTAAATAATTCATCTTTATACCTGTGTTGTCAAAATTACGTCTTCCTGTGTGATAATAGCAATACTAATGTACATTGTTACTTTTAAATATTCATTGATATGTTGATATGTCAATTATTGTCCCATTTTTTTTAAACATAACTTTTCTGCCTTTAAACTATATTTACAATGTTAACCTGATTTTACCAGCTACAGTACCACTATAGTGGTATATAATTATGAATGGTAAATGACCTGGTCACCTCAGTCTAAGCGAAAAAGGCAATTAGATCTTATTCTTTTAGATTTGAGTAAATGTTTTGATAAGGTCAGTCCTGAGAAAATACTGCTGAATCTACAAGACTTTGGAAACAGAGGTCAAACATTAAGATGGATCAAAAGTTGTCTAGATAACAGACTGAAGTCAGTTGTGCTGAATGACGGCAGCTCCAATCTGATCCCTGTATCATAAGGTGTCCCCAAGGCTCAGTTCATGGACCTCTTCTGTTTCTCGCTTATATGAATAACCTCCTACAAAACATAAATACCAGGTCCGCTTGTTTTTTCAGACGATACTGCAATATGCAATGCTCTCTGCAAACCAATCAGTAGCCTTCCAAAATGACCTTAATCAGTTAGAAAAGTGGAAGTTGGAGTGGGATATGGATTTTTACCCATCCAAGAGTCAAGTTAAGGAAAGTTCCAACCCTAACACAATACTACCTTCATGGAGTTCAATAAGAATCAGTTACATAAGCTAAATACCTAGGCATGGATTTTTCAGAAAACCTTACATGAGTCATACCCACATAAACAGGACATCCATGAAAACAAACCAAACCTTAGTCCTGATTCTTATGCAGAAACATAAACGGTTAAATCCCAATCCATTAAATCCGTTGCTTACCAGACGTTAGTCAAGCTTACCAGACGTTAGTCAGGGAAAGTCCCCGGCGTGAATATGGTTACGAAGTATGGTATCCCCATACCAAAATATAATAGATCAAATAGAAAATGCTCAAAGAGCAGTCCCATGGATCAAGCTACATTAGTTTGACGGCAGACCTCTATTGTCATGGACATGTTTCACTCCCTTAAGCTTCGAAAACTTGAACTTACACATGTAGATGCTAAGTTATTCTTTTTCTACAAGATTCACCATGGTCTGGTTGCTTTACCCAAAGAAGAAGAATTATGTGACACCTCCCCCGAATATCACGCAATCTCCTGTGTTACTAGTAAATCACAGCAACTTCAGATTACTATAAATTCTCTTCCCTAGGTGTGTTACCACCTGACCCTTGCAATTGCTCTCCCTACCCCAGAGCAGTTCAGTGCAGTGATAGCTAGCATTGAACATGTCTCACCCTAGTTTTCCAGCCCCCGTTTTTAATATTTCGCTTTTATCCTCTTTTTAAAAAAAACTCTTTTTAACTATCTTCGATTTCGACGGGCAGACATGTCTACGACCCCGCGAGGGTTTGACATTAATAGTAGATAATGTACTTAAATGATTGTCACGGATCGATTTATTTGTTACGTAAAGTGTTCATTTTACCGTGCACTGTTTATCAATTGGACGCGGGAAAATTATATTTAAATGTCCGCGCAAGCGTCGTTTGTTTCCGTGGCGTCTGTTATCGTCTGCTATTGTATCGAATGGTTCCGTAACGTACGAAAATTCACGGATACGTCCGAGACGATTAAACTTTGTTCATATTTCGTGCAATTTTGTGAACTGTTTTTGTATGTCCAATCGTGTTGTACGTTGTGTGAAAGGGATTTGAGAGAATAAAGCTTTATGTACATTGCTTTTAATATTTGCTTGCGAACTATCATGCTCCAGATCACTTCTTTATTCTCTCACGAGTGTAGATATACCGATTCTATTAATATATAAATTCTATTTGTCATTTTTGATAAGAAATATCTTATTATTAAGTTATTTTCAATCTAACTTTAGACGCTGTGGTAAGATTTATTTCATTAAATGAGGATTTCACTCATTTCCTTGAAATAGTTCTTATTTCAACGCTCACTTGTTGTATTTTATGTATTGTATTATAATTATATATTTATGTTTTCATATAAATTTCATTAAATTTGACGAAGCTACGCCAGGTGTTGTTTATTATTCTACCCAGTAATATGATAGTATCCTGTTTTCTCCTATTAGCGTGGGGCTAAAGCCTAAACTGGCACATATGATGTGGTACACGGGGATTTGTGTTATGTACTCTTCAATGTACATGTATAGGGAAATGTATGTGGTTCGAATGCCCTTCTAGGCAATGCGCCGTAATCGTATAGTGGACTTTTTCCACTTCAGTATTGTTATATTTTCTGGTCCTTCGGGATCATTTATGCCAACATTATAAAGTGTTGAGAATTGAGTACCGCTCAAGCCAGTGCTATGGGGCGTGAGGGATGTTGCACTTATACATTATCCCTCATGTACAGACCCAATCAAACCGAGTCTGCAATTCTTATGTCATTTTGTTGTGATTGATGCTTCCGAGGGATAACTTTGTTTCCAGAATTTTGTACTTCACAACAGCAGGTGTCAAGTGCCGTGTGGCAGCCGTAAAAAGTTGCCCCGTACTTCACTTCAGTGTTGTTATATTTTCTGGTCCTTCGGGATCATTGATGCCAACACTATAAAGTGTTGAGAATTGAGTACCGCTCAATCCGGTGCTAGGGGGCGTGAGGGATGTTGCACTTATACATTATCCCTCATGTACAGACTCAATCAAACCGAGTCTGCAATTCTTATGTTATTTTGTTGTGATTGATGCTTCCGAGGGAACACTGTTTTCAGAATTTTTCTTTTTCTTGAATTTTTTAATGTTTGGAAAAATAAATCGAACAACTGTACATAGCGAGTTTATATACAAATGTAAATTTATTTGTCAATCTAATAACTTTAAACATTTATGTGTTATAAAGTGAATTTCTTAAATTTATCCGAAGGTCGAATGTTCGCGGTTAAATAGAATCGCAGTAATTCCTCCTCCGTGCCTTAGTGTGCACGGGTCAGAGCATGACGATGCCAATAGTCTTCTTGTATTGAAGGTAACTAGGGTTATCCGATCGGGAGTATCCGATTTAATTACGGAAGTCTCCGTACAAAATCGGTACCCAACGGCATCATGCAGACGACAAATGGACAAGGACTTTTGGCGGGAAAAACGTCGGCTACTACAATCATATCAGAGATGTAGATAACACCAATCTATGTCTCTGTACATATGAACTTTACATAACATTTATAGATAGTTTTTTATTTTGCAATTAACACAAAAATATACCTTTTAGACATAATAACAAAGAAAACATCATTTACGAAAAAGGCACGAATACAGTAGATTCCTTTACTGACCCTCAACCTCATTTACAAGATACTTTCTCGTATTATCTGGTAATTTTTTTTTATTTTTTTTTTTTGCCAGAGGCTGGTCGCTATGTAATGATTTATTCTACAAATCACCTCAAATCATTAGTGCCCCTCTTAATTAAGTGTTTAAGATACATTATCATAGAAAATGTTTGTGTTTATGATTAAAATTAAAGTTGGAATCTTAAAACACATTTTTTTCCTGGATTTACTGATATTTTCATAAAACGATATTTTTACATGCTTGTCTCACATTTTTATCTTAATGTTGACTTGATTTATATCAGCGCTACAAAGAAGACACATTTTCGGATTCCAAAATGCCAATTTCATCTGTTTTGAATGTCCCCATTATACGAGAAACACTGATAGTACGAGAAACAGGGGCCAAATATTGCTGAGATTATCCCCGTGGTATATATTATGTGCACGGTGTTCGTGTTCTTTGGATGGAACACCAACATTGAGTGGAGTGTTACATTATAGTTCGTGTACGTAAATCAAGACATATATTACTTTTGCACATACCCTATACGGGATTTATCTTCCGGGAATAATTTATGTCATCACCGAATGTCATGTGACTAACAACACACCAAGATGGCGAACAAGGAAGGAAAGTTAACTTCAAAATATTTTCTTTTCTCTTTTCTAACAATTGTGACTGTTTGCAGTATTGTTGAAGGAAATATAAGACAACTATCATTCCATACGTCCAAATCTGTCGTTCAATTCAATGCAAATGATCTGCCAGTGTTCGTAGAACAGAAAATCGAAAATGATCACAAACTATACAAAAGAGAACTGACCGAAGATCAAGATCCAGTCTGTCTAGCACAAAATTCAAAATTTGTGAAGAGTTTGGAAGGGAAAACAATAACCAGAAATGTAAGTATATTTTCTTACATGTTTCAATATTAGAGTGCTGTAATTGGGATAAGGAGTGAAATGTTATGAATAAAATAGTTCTATCTTGTCTATGTTTTTAAAATTTATATCAGCGCTAAAAATAGCTCTAACCTCTTGTGGTTAGGTATGGTAGTGTAACCGTAATTTGAGACATACCGTTTTTAAAAGGTACAAAATTTAGTTCGGGCTAAACAAAAACAATTCCTAGCAGTGTTGCATCTAGAATTTCAAAATTATGGGGGATTGTCCCCCACTCAATTGAAAAATGTGGGGGATTTAAAAAAAAATGTGGGGGGCATAAATTTACCTTACAATATGACTTACCAAATTCATTTATTTTACATTCAGGCATTTTTGACAGCTATCGTCCGCTCAAAAACAGAAGTAGAAAAAATAAAATATTGACAAATACTACAAAACACACGCGAGATGACTTAGTCGGCGGCTACATGCGATTTAGTACGTATTTTAGGCATAACCACGAGTGAAAACAAACATGGCTGAAGCGTTTAAGATACGATGAAGATAAACTGAATTAAGTTGAAAAGATAGTCAGATGCGCGACTTGGCGCGCACTGACTTCATTAAAATGCGTGATCTGCATAAAAAATGCGCAAATCGCGCAATTGCGTGGCCTAGATGCAACACTGCCTAGCCGCCATCTTGTAAAAAGTTAATTTAAAACGGCAAAATAAATCCAATTCCAAAAAATCTAAAAAAAATTTAAATAGTCATCCATACAAAAAAATTTTTTTAAGGTAAGCAAAACACTTTAATGGTGGCAGCCAAATACTACCTCAAGTACCATCTTCGTAAAAAAAAATTCTATTAAAAAAAAAAAGTCGAGCAATTTTAAACAGCTTATTATTAAAAGTTAAAAAAAGTAAACTTCAATAAAATGCTAAGAAGCCCAACAATATTCCTTCAAAAAATAATTGGCAAAAGGAAAAGGTACAAAAAGTCTTAAAAGTAGCCAAAAATATCATTCGCGCCAAAAATGAAAGTAGTATGGTTAATCCCCTGTCCTCAAAGGCCAAGTCCTTGAGAGGTGGGGCACGTCCCAAGCTAAACGCAGCTGCTAGGTATAATAATCCTTCAAGTAATAAATTATCTTAACTAAGTCAACAATCTTCTCCACAACCTAGTGTTAAGCACAGCGCAAAAAAGTCCAAAACTGCAGCATTTATTCAAAGTTTGCCAACAAGGTTGCAGTATAAACTGTATAATAATAAAAACAAACTGGCTGGCATATAAGGAAAAGTTCTTTCGTTATGCCAAAGCATGCAATTAAACGTCAAAAAAATGTCTTAATGGTTTATGCTGGTGTCTAAGTAAAAAATCCGCTAACTATCATGCAATCATTATATAAAAAAACAATATTTCTTATCAAAAGCTCTTGCAAAAACTGAAAATAAAATTTGGTTCCAAAAAACTTGCTAAAACAGCCCAAGTGTCTTTCCAGCAATCTTCACAGCTGCAGGGAGAGTCTCTTGATGATTGGGCAAATAGGGTCATAACCCTGGCTCCAAATGCGTTTAAATACCTGCCTAAATACTACTCAAATAGGCAAACAGTAATGCAACTTTTGTGAGGGTCTGGTAAACAAAGTTTACAGTAGCCGTAGCCATAAATAAACCTTCAACCATAAAAAAGGCAATAAACAAAATCCAATGGTATCAGCACCTGCATCAGTCAGTTTATGGCAGCTCTAAAAAAAGGGCTAGTAAAAAATTTGTTAACAATGGCGCTAATGTGTTTGCCCTAAAAAAAGCTCCTAAAGTTGCGCAAGCCAATGCTGCTCCATCTCAGTTAAGTTCTTTAAAAGTGGCAATTAAAAAGCTTCAAAAATGTTTTAACAGCATTGTCCTAAACCTAAATAAAAAAAAACTTCTTAAAAAAGAAGCTAATGGCCTAAAAAAAACTTGTTTCGGTTGCAAAAAAAAAGGTCATTTCGAGTCTAATTGCCCCTCACTGCAATAAAAAAAATCAAATAAGAAGGGGAGGAGGTAGTATGTGTTATTCTGGTTAGCGCCAAAGTCGCAAACCAGCATCATTTCATGCTAAGCATGGAGTGAGACCAGGTTTAAAAAAACCAAGTTCCATGCTAAATGTATTCTCATTGTAAACAGCATGTAAAAAACATTAGCAAATGTTTTGTATAACAGTTCAATTCAAGGCTCATTTGGTTTAATATTGCTAAAAAAAAAGCAACACATTATTTTGTGATTTTGCGCCAATAAGAAATGAAAATGGAACAATTAATAATATGAATATTCAGGAGCAAAGGGAGTGTACCACATACCATTAGTGTCTGTAGTTGACTAGTATGTGTCAGATCATATTGATGGTTTCCATTGATTACTACATGTTTTGTTTGTTGGCATAGAAATAACTTGTATAATTTTCACATCTTTGCAGATAATAGATCTATAACCCAAAATCGGATAACCTGCTGTTCCAACCATTAAACAAAGTTAAGTTTATAGTTCTTTATAGAGGGAGCTAGTAAATGATTATGCAATAAATAAAGACAACAGAAAAATAAATGTCAAGTTCTAGTCTTGCTGTATTATAAGAAAAAAATAATTTCAAAAACACTAAGCGGGTTAAAATTTATTAGTACGTATTTACAAAATTAAATTGTTTGTGCGGCTGTGCCACGTCTGACCAATTTTATGTTGTAAATACATGTACATACTAATAAACTTTAACCTAAAATTAGTACGTATTTACAAAATTAAATTGGTCAGGTGCGAAAAAGCTGCGTGACCAATTTAATTTTGTAAATATGTACTAATAAACTTAAACCAGCTTTGTGTGTGTTTTAACCAATATTATAAAGAGTGGATTTACTAGACTGATTACAGGTTTGCTGATTTACCAAAGTATTAAATGTGATACGATTTATTTGAAATACTGTAATCCTATTGGACAAAAAATAATAAACACTAGAATAGGTTAGTGCTGGCATTGATTCAAGTACAGCTTTTAAAGATCTTCACAATCAAACAAACAAATGATATGTTATAATAACAAAGCTTGACATACCAGTAATTATTGAGAACTGACAAGAATATTTTAAGATAAAAAAATTTAGTAAGCGAAGAAAAACAATATCTATATATTATAATACCACTGGTCTTTAGAAAATGGAAACAGAGAAGATTCATGTGTATGGAACAAGTAAAATTGATAAAACAAACGAAAGTCATAAATATTGTTAATTACAATTTAACCAAAATTCAATAATTTGGCATTGACATTCAAGGTTTTTTAAAGCTGAAGGTCAAGCAAGTTTAACTTTTTAGAAGGTCTTGTCCAAATTAAAGGGTTTTTTTTGGTCCAAGAATGAAGATAATCAATTTATTAATTACCAGGTTACTGTCGATTATAATAACTGATAATAATATTATAAATAATTTGTATGTCTAAGTATCACAAGTATCCTGTTCAAGTGATATCATCATTGTCCCACATATTTATATATCCTAGACGAGTACTTTACAAGGATATGAATAATTATAATGTATTATATATTTTAAGAGCTCACACTTGTATTGATATTATTGTGTATCAAGTGTCTATTGGTATACATTTCAAAACTTGCCTTGTGACAAATATTGTTATTTCAAATGAACAAAGCAAATATAATTGTCATGTGAAATGAATTTTAACAAGTAACTTAAGAAATAATCTATAGTTTTGTTGTCTGAAAAATATTTTTTGTATGGTATATCAGAAAGACTTAAATTAAAATGATTTAAAGTCAATCTGTTGTCATGAAATTTGCATTAGGTTTTAAAAATAATAATGACATACATATTCAGACATATTTTGCCCCTTTATGTGTCCCGAATTCTTTATTAATTTTGGTTTGTAATTTTGCCAAACTTTATTACACATCTTTATTTCTATAATTATATGCATGTATATTCATATCTGTTTAATTTAGCATTAACATAAATATTTAAACAAAGCTTGTTCAGGTTATATTTCAATATTTAGAATATTGTCTTATCTACTACATGTGCATATAAATAATTATTTATTTTGTTAAATTTCCACAGCATTTCCTGCTGACCATAAAGAAGCTATTTTCAGATTGTTTTACTCAGTTCATGCGCTGAGGTATATTGAAACACCTGCAAGCAGTTTAACCATTAGCAGACATTCACTAGTGTCAACAGATGCTACAAGTGTAGACCAAAATCAGCCAGCTGACCATGGGGGGTGTCCATTGCCGAGTGGTTACGGAGGTTGACTTCAAACCACTTGCCCCTCACCGCTGTGGGTTCAAATCCCGACAGGGACTTTGGATTCTTTTCATGTGAGGAAGCTATCCAGCTAGTTTATGGAACGTCTGTTGTTCTACTCAGGTGCCCGTTCATGCCTGAAAAAATGCATGGAGGGGCACATGAGGTCTTCCTCCACCAGTAAAGCTGGAACGTCGCCAAATGACCTATACTGTGTCGGTGTGATGTAAAACCCAAGTAAAAAAAAAGAAGAAAAAAGCTGACCTGATGGACTGAACTGTTTACTTCTCACTGAACCATTTTAAAAAATCATGGATGATTTTGTCCATATTGAAAGATGGACAAGTCCATTTAAGATATTTTAGGTGCTAAGGGTTTAGAAATAAGATAGAAAGTAATGTCTGTATTTCAGTATTAAAAGAGATACTAATTATTTGATTTTTGTCGACCCCCCTTGCAGTGAGCTCAACTTAAACACCACTATTTGGTGTATATACGTCAGTGCATCAGGATTTGTCCTGTCTGTATCTTGCTCATTTTTTTGAAGGATTACAAAATAATTTGGTACAAATATTCACCATGATCTGGTGGTGTGTTGTACACAATTAAACCCATTTCTGCTGCTTAAAGGTCAAGGTCACACTTGGGGATCAGTACAAAACCCGTGTCTGGAGTGTAATTTCCATATGCATGGAGGGATGTTAAATACCACTTGGAACAAATATTGTTTTCCATAGTGAGGCGGGGTTACACCAGAAAAATTCAGGTGTCTGTGGTAAAGGTCAAGGTCACACTTAGGGGTCAAAGGTCAAATTACATAATAAAACATTCATTTTCTAGTTTTTACTTCTACATTCATGGAAGGATTTTAATATATTACTTAGCACAAAATTGTTCACCATGTTGAGTTGAGTTCTGTTGTGGAAAATGCAGGTCAAGGTCAGAAGAGGTCAAAGGTTAAATAAAAATATTACAATTTGTTTGTTGGCACTGTTTCTTGCTTGTTCTCTGAAGGATAACAAAATAATTTGGTACTTAGCACAAATGTTCTCCATGTTGACTTGAGTTGTCTCGTGCAAAATTAAGGTCAAGGTAACAAGAGGTCAAAGGTCAAATAAAAGTATTAAAATTTGTTTGTTGGCGCTGTGTCTTGCTAATGCTTTGAAGTATTATCCTGAGTGATTATGTTGAGCCCACTTGTGGTAAGGTCAACTTAGTCCCAGTGGTTTGGTATATGTGCGTGCATCAGTCTATTTGTTCGTCTAAATTTATCTGGTCTATATGATTATCTTACTCATTCTTTGAAGGATTACATAAATAGTTTGATACAAATGTTCACCATGATGGAGTGGTGTGTGACACAAGCAAAATCCAGGTCTGCTACTCAAAAGTCAAGGTCAGACTTTGGGGGTTGGTGCAAAACCTGTGTCCGGAACGTAACTTCCACATGCATGGAGGGATTTGATATAACTTGGGACAAATGTTCCCCATAGTGAGACCGAGTGTCTCGTGCAAAATTCAGATGTCTGTGGCAAAGGTCAAGGTCATACTTTAGGGTCAAATAAAAAATTACAAAATTCATTTATGTGTATAACTTTTATATGCATGGATGGATTTTAATATAACTAAACTAGAACACATGTTCTACATGGTGAGTTGAGTTGACTTGAGCAAAATAAAGGTCAAGGTCAAAAGAGGTCAAAGGTCAAATAAAAATATAAAAATTTGTTTGTCCACACTGTATTAAGCTTATGCTGAGTGGTCAGAGGATTTTTGTAGGGCAGCTCAACATAGCTGTCAAAATGGCTGTTTAGAATTTGTCTGTGTCAGTGTCCATGCCATAACTTCTTCATGCATAGAGGTTTCAAATAAAATGAATTGAGTTAATTAGGCTCATATGTTAATCATTAGACTTTGTGTCATTCACAGAAACCAGGTCACCGGGCAGTCAGAGGTTAAGGTCAACTTAGATGATGGATTGCCAAGATTTTGCCTTGGGGTATATGAGGATGTGTTGTGCACATACATCTTTCTCTATAATCTGAAGCTTATTGGTTCAGGTTTGTATTAAGACGAGAAGGTTCAACATTCTGCCCGTCAGTAGTCATGTCTTGTTATATTATTGACTAATTATCATCTAATCTTTTTATATATATTTTCAGCTAACATTTACAAATGAGACAAAACCAGCCATGGCACTTGCATGGGCAGGAGAAAATGATGGGGTAAGAATGAAATTTTCATGGTTATACGTTTACAATTTAGATATTTTAAACTTTTGCTAGGCATACTAAATTAACTTAAACAGACTGATCCTTTGGTTCTTACTTAATACAATTCCAATATTAAAGTTCTGTGTATTTAAATCAGATACCTTTCTCAGATAATGAGAGATAATTCTGAAGTCTGAAAATATACAATATAAAAATAAGTTTTTTTAAAAATTCTCATTTTGAGGAAAACATATTTTTTGGCCCGAGAATACCTGTATCTGGTTTTACAGTTTTGAACTTCATGTAGATAAATGAGTTCAGACCAACCTTGACTGCTATAAATACAACCTCTGAGTTTAACAGTCTATTGCAGGGAAGGATTTTTTCAGATGTATTTGTATCTTTCAGTTACCAATCAAAATGTTTGTTAGAGGCCTATCATCCTTGCCTCTTGTTATTAATATAAACAGTTTAATATTCTTCTCAATGAAATAAAAGTTCTAAAAATACATTTTGTCAAGGATGTTGTCCTAATTTAATTTAATACCGTTATTTTATTATATGCTTATAAATGAAATATTGAGAAATATTGATGAAATAAAATGCGTATTTTCATTTTCCGTATTTTCACTGTAAAAATTTATTTTTCACTGCAGTGAAACATATTTTCCGTATTTTCACTGGTGTCTTGCCGGACTACTTTCTTTTAAATTCTACCAGTACACAAAATTTAAGGGAAAGTTTTTCAAATTTCATCACAAAAAAGAGAAAAATGTACATAATAAAATTCAAGTTTTTTCTATAAATACATGATTTATTTTCATCTTGTGGCATGAAAATTACCATATTTCACTCGTGGCTACCGCCACTCATGAAATATTTATTTTCATACCACTCGATGAAAATAAATCATGTATTTATAGAAAAAACTTGAATATCCTCTATATCATTTTCTGTTTTCTTTTCCTGATACAGTATATTTTTCATTCTTTTCATCTGAAAACTTCAGTTGTCATATAAATATGTCATCATTATAAAATTAAAAAGTCAAGATCCCAACATTAAAATACAATGCATCAGTTATGATAAGATATGATAGGTGACAGTAATGTGATTGATTTCTTATATGATAAATACTGTTGACATAAACAAGTATATGATTTATGAATCATTAAATGATTATTAAAAATACTTTAAATTTTAAACCCTTGTTTGAAAAAAATATTTGCGTGTACAGGGTGTTTATAAAGTTTTTACTGCAAGTATTTCTGCTACTTTTGGTATCAGAATTTTTAGTTGTTAAAGTTTGTTTCATTATCCTCTTTTATAAAGGCTATATACCATCCTATGTAACACCCCTCTCTAATTAGCATCCCCATCACTTTTTGTTGAAGAAAAAAACTTACCTTATAGATTTATAAATGACATAATGAAAGAGCAATCAAACATATCTAAAAACAATATTATTGAAAAAGTAACAATTTATGTCATTCCAAAAATGTAAAAACATTAAAAAATAATCCTGTGTTAAATATTATATCATAATAATGAATAATGGTTATAATAATTGATTTGTGTCTTTAATAAACATATTTAAAGCACATTTTTATAGTTTTTATTTAGGGCCCCCCTTTTCAAAAATGCAAGCCCCTAAGGGCATTAAACTGAAACAATACGGTATATTCTTGTAGCAAATTGACTGGATTCACAATCAGTTTATATTTAATTTGTACATATCAAGATATACCAGAGGCTTTTTGGTCATTGTCAAACAGGATTATAGTTCATTAGAAAGTTTTCCACTTGACTTAATTTTCATCATTTCCTTTTTATTTGAATGTAAAACTTAACATACAAAAGTTTCACAGTTTTTTGTGTACATGTACAGTTTATATAGATGACTCTCAGTCACGTGTAATTTTCTTCATTGTATAATACATTTTTATAAAATCTAGGACATATTATATATTTTTGATATATAGTATATAAAAACACATTTTATTTATAATAAATTCAGAAATATTATACATTATGTAGGGTGTTTTTTATATTTTTATGCCCCCGGGCATATACTAATTGAACCTTCCGTCTGTCTGTCCATCCGCACTCACAGGAGAGTAATTATGTGGCTAGAGGGACAATAGGTAACTGTTCTTTCTCTTTGATGTCATTCATTCCCTAATGCTTTTATGTGGCTATTTTCTTATGTGTGGCTAAAAAGAACAATAGAGAGAACAATAGAGTAGCCACATAATTACTGTCCTGTGAGAACTTCCGTCCGTCTGTCCGTACGAGGTTAACCTAGAACGGCAAGTTGGATTTTTCTTAAGTTCTACCTGTACCAATGGTTTCTAAGTTTACACACTTACTAATCAATACAAAGTACATGATCTGGGCAAGTTACATAACTCTGGCTTTCATATTTACTAAGTTATTGCCCTTTTCAGCACTTAGAAAATGAATAATGGTTAACCTAAAACAGCAAGTTGGAAATATCTTAAGTTCTATCTATACTAATGGCTTTATAATTTCCACACTTACTTATCAATACAAAGTACATGATATTGCCAAGTTATATAACTGTGTCATCCATATTTCCCAGTTATTTCCCTTTTTTCACTTTGAAAATAGGGCCTTGTCTGGTTAACCTATTTCGGCAAGTTGGATTTATCTTAAATTTCTCCTAATTGCTTAATTTCTGTAATGATATCTTTCATATTTAGTAGGTGGATACCTTTGATGGTCCTCTAAATTTTTGTGGAGTAAGTGGTCTCTAGGGTCAAGGTCACTGGTTTAAAAAATAAATATAAACATTTTTGCTCATACAGCCTTTATTTTTAGCTCACCTGTCACAAAGTGACAGGGTGAGCTTTTGTGATCACTTTTTGTCCGGCGTCCGTCCGTCCGTAAACTTTTACTTTAAATGACATCTCCTCATAAACCACTAAGCCAATTTCATCCAAACTTCACAGGAATGTTCCTTTGGTGGTCACCTTTAAAAATTGTTCAAAGAATTTAATTCCATGCAGAACTCTGGTGCAGCCATGGCAACCGAAAGAAAAAACTTTAAATATCTTCTTTAAAAAAATCCTAAGAGCTAGAGCTTAGATATTTGGCATAAAACATCTTCTAGTGAGTGTCTACCAATTTGTTCAAATTAAATTCCTGGGGTCAAAATTGGCCCCGCCCCAGGGGGTCATTGTTTTTCCTTATATGTATATAGTAAAAGCTCAAAAAATCTTCTTTTAAAGAACCCAAAGAGCTAGAGCTAAGATATTTAGCATGAAACATTTTCTAATGGATGTCTACCAAGTTTGTTCAAATAAAAGCCCTAGGGTCAAAATTGGCCCCGCCCCGGGGGGTCATTGATTTTCCCTATATGCATACAGTAAAAACTTAAAAAAATCTTCTTTTAAAGAACCCAAAGAGCTAGAGCTAAGATATTCAGCATGAAACATGTTCTTATGAATGTCTACCAAGTTTGTTCAAATAAAAGCCCAGGGGTCAAAATTGGCCCCGCCCCAGGGGGTCATTGATTTTCTCTATATGCATATAGTAAAAACTTAAAAAATCTTCTTGTAAAGAACTCAAAGAGCCAGAGCTAAGATATTTAGCATGAAACATGTTCTAATGGGTGTCTACTAAGTTTGTTCAAATTAAAGCCCTGGGGTCAAAATTAGCCCCGCCCCAGGGGGTCATTGATTTTCCTTATATGTGTATGCAAAACTTATAAAAGCTTCTTTGAAAAAACCCAAATAGCTAGAGTTTAGATATGAGGCATGAAACAACTTCTAGTGAGTGTCTACAAAGTTTGTTCAAATAAAAGCCTTTGGGTCAAATTGGCCCCGCCCTGGGGGGGGGGGGTCATTGATATTCCCTATTTGCATATAGTAAAAATTTAAAAAATCTTCTTTGAAAAAACCCAAATAGCTAGAGTTTAGATATTAAGCATGAAACATCTTCTAGTAAGTGTCTTCAAAGTTTGTTCGAATAAAAGCCCTGGGGTCAAAACTGGCCCCGCCCCAGGGGTGTCATTGTTTTTAACTATATGTGTATAGTAAAAACTTAAAAATCTTTTTTAAAAAACCCAATGAGCTAGAGCTTAGATGATTAGCATGAAATATCTTCTTATGGATGTCTACCAAGTTTGTTCAAATAAAAGCCCTCAGGTGAAAATTGGCCCTGCCAGGGGGGGGGGGGGGGGGAGAGGAGAGATCATTGTTTTTCATTATATGTGTGTAGTAAAAACTTAACATTGTGAAATAAAAACTTAACATTGTGAAACATCTTCTAATGAGTGTCTTCCAAGGTTGTTTAAATAAAAGCCCTGGGGTTTAAACTGGCCTTGCTCCGGGGGCCCTATATACAGGTGAGCGACCTCAGGGCCATCATGGCCCTCTTGTTTAGTTAATGTCTTAGTTTAATACAAACATGCCAAGGGAGGTCCTCCTTCTTTGGGTGTAGTAAGGGGTCATTTGGGTCAAGGTCAATGTTACCAATGTCAAGGTCACCAATGTTATAAATAGATTTTTATATTTTTACAGGTGTATTGACCTTTTTCTATAGACAGATGTTATTTATAATTGATAGAAACAAACTTTGATGGAGTTAGTGGTCAGTTGGGTCAAGGTCACCAGTGCTAAAAATAGAATTTTACACATTTGCTCATACAGCCTTTATTAAGTGACAGATATATTTTATATTTGGTAGGAAGATAACTTGCATGGTATTCATCCTTTTGATTGGGGTAGGGATCAGTGGGTCAAGGTCACTTGTGCTAAAAATAGATTTTTACACTTTTGCCCATATATATACAGCCTTTATTTATTGACATGTATTTCATATTTGGTAGGAAGATAACTTACATGGTATTCTTCTTTTGGATAGAGTTAGGGGTCAGTTTAGTCAAGGTCACCAGTGCTCAAAATAGATTTTTACACTTTTGCCCATACAGCCTTTATTTAATGACACATGTATTTCATATTTGGTAGGAAGAAAACTTGCATGAAGTTGAATATTTTTCAACTTCACAAGTCAGAGCAATGACTTGGCAACTTATATTTTTCACAATTACAAAATGCCATGACTTTGTCAAGCTATATAGCTTGTGTTTACAATTTTTTGGCAAATTTTTCTGTCCATAACTGAGTGAATGGGTAAACATTTTTTGAAATATTGCTACTTACAAGAATCTGAGCCGGGGGGGGGGGGGGGGGGGGGGAAGGGGGCGCATTTGTGTTTAACAAACATGTTCTTGTTTAAGATATCACCTTCCTTTTAAGTTCTTTTAACACATTGATTTAACTGACTTGGATGTTTTGAAATTTTTTTGCTTGAATGTAATGAATACTTTTAAAATGTTTGAATTTCCTTATTGTTGTATTTAATTATCATTCAAATAGGTTATGATATATAAACTTTGATAGTTAGGTAATTATATTGTACGTATTATCATGGTGCGATTTAATTTGTTGTTAAGACATCTGAGTTTTCATTAACTACTGAAGGTATTGGTTTGGAGAATGATAATTGTAGTTCACTTTTCAAGACCTGTTTAACTCTGGCATGAATTTTGATTAAACTACTAGTATAGCGCTTTGAGAACTAAAACAAAATGTGTACACGGTTATAATTCTCCTCTGTAACTGAAGAAATTCACCTGATGTCACACACAATTGTCCTGAGTATCTTAAATGTAGGTCACTGACCAAGGCCCATGACTCAAACATAGACTTGTACTTATTATTAGGTTATGCTTTTGCCCCTACTTTAAATATGATAACATGTTTAATTTATGGTTAAAGTTTTAGAATCCCCATAACAAGACAGAAGGTATTACGGTACATGTAATTTGGAAATTCTCACATAACATCTGTACCATAATTGTAGGTCATTTCAAAGACACGTAACTCGGACATATATTTTAACTAAATCATAATCCTTTATGATTTTAGAAATTTCTGGTGGATTTATTTTGCTTGCCAGATTCACATCCCAACTATTAAACATATTTTTTGAAATGTTTGTCATGTGATCAGGTTCATAAATGATAATTGTAGGTAAAATTTAATATATTTTAAACGAAATCTTCCCCTTTGTTAATTCCTATTAAATAATATACTTTATCCAGGCTCTTATTAAAAAAAATATAATATTAATCAAAAATATTTTCAATGTATAATTATGATTTGCTAAATATTCAGAACTGGCCAGATTGTGGATATGTAAGCATGGACAATGGTATAATTAGTGCTTGCATAGATATGTTTGAAAGGTTCAAAATGAAGTTTATTTAGGCCACCAATGTAAAAAAGAGCATCATAATTAAAAAAAAAAACAAAAACAAAAAAAACATTGCTTCAAAAAAGACCAAGGATAAAACAGATTTTTTTCATTTCTTACACAGAGACCTGGACAGTTTTTGTTTGTTTCAATGATTTCATTTAACTGAGAAACTATTTTTCTCTCTTTATTTAGGTACTGATTATTGTGACAACTGATTCAATTCTGGGAACCACAACAGAATCATCAGTGTTCAGAAGGTATATATAATATAATGTAGAATGTTCACTGTCATTTCTTGGAAATAAATCAAAAATTAATCTAGATCCAAGATTAGAATAACTGTTATATTAGATGTTTTTTTGGAAAAGATTGATGAATGAGTAAAACAGGTTAATTAGTTAATCCTTATAGTGAGAGGCCTTTACCACCAGTATAACAAAATTTACTACATGTTACTAACACCTTAATAATCCACCTTGTTTAAGTAATGCAGTAAGAGAAATAATGTTTAATTTAATTATTGTGGAAAATAAAAGTCTTAGACTATAATGTTTAAAAAGAAAACTTTACTTTATGTCAGAAAGCATTGTTATGCATTAAGAAAAATTGTATGATTTCATTTTATTTGAAAAATAAAAGAAATAAAAAAAAATTTGGCTGCAAACTGCTTTGAAAAAAAAGCTGCACTAGATCTTTAGAAATCAGTTTATTTATGAAAATAATATAATTTCTAGCTGATGGAAATATTTAGCTGTCCAGCTTTGACACAAGCCAAATGTAACTGTCTGGTCAGCTCAATAGATAGTGTTGGAGTGTGAATTGAACAACCTGGGTTCGATTCCCGGATGGCTCAGGTCACTTTAGTTGTGTTTGATCATGAAATCATTCCTTTGGTCAATCACACTGTACCTGACTGCTTTTGCATGTACAGAAGTTATCAGTTCCTTGTGAAAGTGAAGGCAACTAGTACTGGTAAACTGCTTGACAGTCTGTTCAGGGGTGGCTGAACTGTGCAGAACGTGGCTTACTGCCATGATCCAGAGGTTAAACTACCATCACCACTAGCTAAATGTGCTGTTTTGATGACAGCTCTTCTTTTTTTCTTTCATTCCCAGAATTATTAAGGCTGACATGCTATTATTGTATTGGAAAAGAATATAGCACATTGTTTTCATATTTTATTGACTTTCTTCATTTTAATGTTATACCAGTTGCTAACTGAAGATGGCAGATGTCAGAAAACTGGCTTATACCGGTATATAAGCTGAAATTGTTTGGGTGAAGATGGTTATATTTTTGAAGATATTTTGATGTTTTCAGTGAAGACTATGGTGTAACCTTAACAAATTTGACAGATAAACTAGGTTTAAAACCAGGGAAATATGTTATAAAGAAACATAATGGTGTACAAAGACACCCTTATAATTCTAAGAAGGTAAGGTTTTGAAATCAAATAATACATTTCTAGGCCATTTAAAAGTAAAGCTTTTAGTAAATTAGTTTAAATCCTGGTCCCTACTATCTTAGAAATCTCCACCAAAATTATTTTACACACTAAATGAGTCATGTCACGACAAAACCAACATAATGCGTTTGCGACCAGCATGGAACCAAACCAGCCTGCGCATCTGCGCAGTCTGATCAGGATCCATGCTGTTCACTTACTAAATTTATTACAAGTAGAGAAACTGATAGCGAACAGCATGGATCCTGATCAGACTGCGCAGATGCTCAGGCTGGTCTGGATCCATTCTGGTCGCAAACGCACTGTCACATGTTGGTTATGTCTTGACACGGCTCAGATGTTTTTTGAGTTTGTATGATATTGTTAAATTGTATCTAATACTGTGATCCACATCAATCATGGTGATGTATTGCTTCTATAATCTTCTGTATACTATTTGCCAAGCTGTATTTGGTCAAACTTACCTCGTAATGTTTAATTGAATTGTTTTATAGATATACTACAAAATAGGGAAAACAATAAAAAATGTAATATGTTTATAAAAGACTATTCTTTATACATGTACAGTGCCTTAAAGATGCTTATGTTTTTCAGATATATCTCATTGGGGAAGGGAATTACATGTATACATCTATTGATGGTGGGCTAAATTTTGCCCAGAATACCCTATCATTTCCCTTTGATGGAGAATTAGTGTTTAACCCCTTTAATGAGGACTATTTGATTGCTCTGAATGCCAAGAAGGTAAATATAAAACTTAGCCATGATTCTTGTTTCTTTGATAGTTAATACCACAGTAGTGATGACCAGTATCTTATATAGTGCTCATGTACATGTAACTTGAAGCAAACCTAGTGATATAGCCAGCTAGCCTAAGGCCAGTGATTTTACCGATGTGCCAGCAATGTGCCTGAAATAAGGCTCGGAGGAGCATTTGAAGATTTTGTTTACAAGTATATTTAGAACTTTAACACTGTCAGTGTAACACCCTTCAAAAAAGATATATTAAACTGAAAAGTATTTCTTTGAAACACAAGGACACATCATTTGCTTATTGTGCATTGTTTTAATGGTCAATCAAAAGAAGAATTAGAATTAAGATAACATGTGTACAAGTGTTTTCCATTTATTTAATTGTATCAAAGGAATGAATCATATACGTTGTGCAATATGTTACTTATTGAAACATGTATTGTCACGTGTAAAATGAAATATTGATGGAACAATAGCCTTAACATCAACTATTACTCTTCTACTGTACAATTGTAAGTCATAACTTGATGTTCACAAAAAAAAAATCAAAATTATAAATTTTAAATTATTAAGTTTTTTTTTCCATCTCTGCATTTTAACCTTTAACCTTTTTATGAAGGATTAGCCCTGATTTGAACTTGGCACAGCCCATTCAATGTTTCATTGATTTCAATATCAAAAAATAGAATTTGAGCTACTATAGAAGAGAGCCTTGACAGACTGTAGGGATTAGCAGACTTGCTAGCCTCTATAGTTGCAGCATAGGCTAACACACTTCAAGTTCAGTAAGAGCAATGAAAAATAAAATAAAATGAAAAATGAAAACAAATAAATATAGATGAGAATTGCATTGTGGGTGTTTATGGAGTCTATTTGTAGGAGAGAATGGAAAGTGCAACATCTGTCATACATAACCCCAGTACTAGCTCTAGTAATGATACATCAAAATAACAATTTGGGGTCATGGTTGTATGTATCCTACAGTATATGTTAGATATTTAATTTAAGTGTGAAACTTAGGTGAAATACTGAAATGTTGATATTGCTCTTGATTCTGATCATTGATTCATTCTTTGTAAAAACTTGGCAATATGTATAGTTGTTGATCAATTTTTTTTTAATCAATTTTTGTCCCATGAAATTTCAAATTTGAATGAAGATAATGTTATGGCTCTCATTTTGCCTTAGAAATTATTTTACAAGGAACGTTTTTTTTGTAAGTACTGGTATTGTTCCGTATATTAACTAGAATTTTTTTTTTAACTTATGAAATCATTTTTATTTCATCAAAGCTTTAAAATGTCTTCAAATGCTATAAAAGTTCTGAAATTGTTCAATTGAAATACATTGATGAGTTTTTCCAATTTTGTACTGTTTTTTTCTTGTAGAACATGTTTATATCTAAAAATAATGGTAATAGTTGGCAACAACTAGAAATAAAAGATAAGGCGACACATGTGGAGCAAGCTGTTGACAAGGTGATCTGGGGTGTTAAATTGGATGAAGATGTAGATGGTGGATCCAACCCGGATACCAATGAAACAATCTACTTTACATATGGAGCTCAACCAATGGCTGACTCTTTTTTAAAGCAATGTAAGTCCCAAATTCTGTTTGTTCTATTCTGTTTCTTACAGGATTATTCTTTCATTAATAAACTAGCTTTGTTTGCATTTAAAGACAATTTTTTTTAGCTCTACTATTCAAAGAATAGGGAGAGCTGTTGTACTCACCCCATCATTGGCATCACACAGTGGTATGAGTGATGTCAGATTGAGTATTGTGATGTCTTTTGCTGCAGTTATTTGGAAGAAAAAACCAACAAAAAACATTTAAGATTCTATTTCTTTGATTTTAAGTAAAACAAATGTATTTTGTTCAAAATAAGTACTCTTGTAATGGAGCTCATCAAGTTTTAAGATTCTGAACACAGTCTGAATCAAATTAATTTACAGGTATCTTGTAAAAATTTAACATATTTCATCATTTTCCTTTCTCTGTAAGAAAGAACAAAACAAAAATAATGCTTCCTGAATTATTATAAGATAAGGTTGCAATAAATCTATGTAAGCAAATGATTAGTAAAAATCTTAAGTGAATAAAAATTGTGAGAACTTTAGTAAAATTCTTCTTTACTATATGATTTTTTAAAAATGTTTCATTTCAGTTATTGACTTCAGTTTCACAACAGATTATACTCTGGCTAAGTCAACAGATGGTGGCGCTACCTATATTGATATTCTAAGGAATGTTGTTTCATTCGACCGTCAGGGGAAATTTCTTTATGCCTCTCAAATAAAAAGCAAAACAGATGCTGTAAGTTTATTTCTTGTATTTTTAAATCTACATTACAATTTTGTATATATTACAGAAGAATGTTTGTCCAACCATGACATTGAAACAATAGCCTATGTGTTAAAAGTTTACAATTTTACACCTCAACAAGGCAATTTGTCTAACATTAGATATAACACAAGATGTCAGAAGTCTTTGGAACACCTGAGAAGAACTGAACATGAGTAAAAAAATGAATATAAAAATTAAAAAAAAACAACAACAAAAACAAAACATATAATATATCTAGGCTTTTGGTTTTGAGGAGAAGTAACCAATATTATACCCCTAACAAATAATGCAGAAGTGGCTATATTGGAAACACATTGTCACATCTGTAAATCTGTCCATCTCCATTGTGTCTGCATGATATCTCTTGTACCCCTTGAAGGATTTTCTTCAAACTTGGCTCATATTATCACATTAGTGCAGTGTGCAGGATCCATGCTGCTTGACTTTACCAGTTTCAGTTTAAGGTCAAAAGTAAGAAATTTTCATGTCAGTCATTTAAATCCTAAACCTTTTGAAGTGGTTTAGCTTGCTGTGTTTAAATGATATACCCTGTTGAGTTTGAATTCTGTTTGGGAAATTTGAATCTTATAATGTCATGAAGTGACCCTGGTGGCTTACATCACTGCTTATTCTCCTCATCAAGACCTACAGTGTATGTTATTGTATCTTAAAAACTAGTTAATTAAAAGTGTATATCATATAAAACAGATTTCTGCTTTATAACCTCTATTAAAACTTCTTGAATCAATAAGAGTTTTATTGTAGTGTTGTATACATGTATGTATTTATATTATAGTATGGCTGGAGACATCTACTGTATACATGTATGTATTTATATTTTAGTATGGCTGGAGACATCTACTGTATACATGTATGTATTTATATTATTGTATGGCTGGAGACATCTACTGTATACATGTATGTATTTATATTATAGTATGGCTGGAGACATCTACTGTATATGTATGTATTTATATTATAGTATGGCTGGAGACATCTACTGTATACATGTATGTATTTATATTATAGTATGGCTGGAGACATCTACTGTATACATGTATGTATTTATATTATAGTATGGCTGGAGACATCTACTGTATACATGTATGTATTTATATTATTGTATGGCTGGAGACATCTACTGTATACATGTATGTATTTATATTATTGTATGGCTGGAGACATCTACTGTATATATGTATGTATTTATATTATAGTATGGCTGGAGACATCTACTGTATATGTATGTATTTATATTATAGTATGGCTGGAGACATCTACTGTATATGTATGTATTTATATTATTGTATGGCCGGAGACATCTACTGTACATGTATGTATTTATATTATAGTATGGCTGGAGACATCTACTGTATATATGTATGTATTTATATTATAGTATGGCTGGAGACATCTACTGTACATGTATGTATTTATATTATAGTATGGCCGGAGACATCTACTGTATATGTATGTATTTATATTATAGTATGACTGGAGACATCTACTGTATACATGTATGTATTTATATTATAGTATGGCTGGAGACATCTACTGTACATGTATGTATTTATATTATAGTAAGGCTGGAGACATCTACTGTATACATGTATGTATTTATATTATTGTATGGCTGGAGACATCTACTGTATATGTGTATGTATTTATATTATAGTATGGCTGGAGACATCTACTGATATCTACTGATGGTGGGACAGTTTTCAAGGAAGTCCAGTTACCAACTATAGAGCCTGACAGAGTAAGATCTGAAATGATTGCTCAATTCAATACTAATTTATAGCTTGACTATTTAAAGAATAGACGGGCTATTGTACTCACCCAGTTGTTGGCAGTGTGACTAAAGTATTTTATCAACCACTTATGATATTTGCTTTTAACTTCATACACTTATTTGAAGAATAATAGGAGGTCACTGTAACTTTAGTATTTACTTTGTGAACTAAACAAAATTCTTTAGTCATTGTCCAAGACTCATAACTATGTTATGAAAAGGCAAAAATGAGAAGTTTATTGTGATGAAAAACAAAAAATACCATTCAAGCATGTTGAAAGATAAAGATCTCTGCCAAGCCCCAGGCAGGAGATTAACAACTGGGTGATAGCAATAACTGTTTTGATAAGGGAGTACACTAGAGCCAATAAAGTTTGAAAACTGATAAAAATATATTCCAGCCCAGCTGGTAAACATATCTTGGCGAAGCTGGGGGCTGCAGCCCTAAAGTCCGGGCCTGAATTTGCCACTGAATACAGGTTATTATACCCCCGCACACAAAGTTGTAAGGGGGGTATATTGGAATCAGCTTGTTCAACCGTCCAGACGTCTCCCCATCCGTCCGTCGGATTTTCTTTGTCTGCCCAATTACTTGAGATTCCTTTGGCCCACAGTCTTCACATTTGGCATGGAGGTTAGTCATGATTAGTAGATTTTGAGGTCACTGGGTCAAAGGTCAAGGTCAAAGGGGCCTTGACTAAAAATAAATTGTCCGCCCAATAACTTGAGATTCCTTTGACCCACAGTCTTCATATTTGGCATGGAGGTTAGTCATGATTAGTAGATGACCCCTATTGATTTTGAGGTCACTGGGTCAAAGGTCAAGGTCACAGGTGCCTTGACTAAAAAAAACCTTGTCTGCCAATAACTTGAGATTCCTTTGACCCACTGTCTTCATATTTGGCATAGAGGTTAGTCATGATTAGTAGATGACCCCTTTTGATTTTGAGGTCACTGGGTCAAAGGTCAAGGTCAAAGGGGCCTTGACTAACAAAACATTGTCCGCCCAATAACTTGAGATTCCTTTGACCCACAGTCTTCATATTTGGAATGGAGGTTAGTCATGATTAGTAGATGACCCCTATTGATTTTGGGGTCACTGGGTCAAAGGTTAAGGTCACAGGGGCCTTGACTTTAAAAAGCTTGTCCACCAAATAACTTGAGATTCCTTTGACCGACAGTCTTCATATTTGGCTTGGAGGTTAGTCATGATAAGTAGATGGCTCCTATTGATTTTGAGGTCACTGGGTCATAGGTCAAGGTCACAGGGTCCTTGACTAAAAAAAAGCTTGTCCGCCAATAACTTGAGATTCCTTTGACCCACTGTCTTCATATTTGGCATAGAGGTTAGTCATGATTAGTAGATGACCCCTTTTGATTTTGAGGTCACTGGGTCAAAGGTCAAGGTCAAAGGGGCCTTGACTAACAAAACATTGTCCGCCCAATAACTTGAGATTCCTTTGACCCACAGTCTTCATATTTGGAATGGAGGTTAGTCATGATTAGTAGATGACCCCTATTGATTTTGAGGTCACTGGGTCAAAGGTCAAGGTCACAGGTGCCTTGACTAAAAAAAACCTTGTCCTCCAATAACTTGAGATTCCTTTGACCCACTGTCTTCATATTTGGCATAGAGGTTAGTCATGATTAGTAGATGACCCCTTTTGATTTTGAGGTCACTGGGTCAAAGGTCAAGGTCACAGGGGCCTTGACTAAAAAAACATTGTCCGCCCAATAACTTGAGATTCCTTTGACCCACAGTCTTCATATTTGGCATGGAGGTTAGTCATGATTAGTAGATGACCCCTATTGATTTTGGGGTCACTGGGTCAAAGGTCAAGGTCACAGGGGCCTTGACTTTAAAAAGCTTGTCCACCAAATAACTTGAGATTCCTTTGACCCACAGTCTTCATATTTGGCTTGGAGGTTAGTCATGATTAGTAGATGACTCCTATTGATTTTGAGGTCACTGGGTCAAAGGTCAAGGTCACAGGGTCCTTGACTAAAAAAAAGCTTGTCCGCCCAATAACTTGAGATTCCTTTGACCCACAGTCTTCATATTTGGCATGGAGGTTAGTCATGATTAGTAGATGACCCCTATTGATTTTGAGGTCACTGGGTCAAAGTTCAAGGTCACAGGGGCCTTGACTTAAAAAAAGCTTCTGACAAAGTGGTATGTGGGGGTATTCATGCATGACAGTTGCAGCTGCTACAACATAAAATTATGCTTTTGTATCAACACATTCAGGTATATAGGTGATAATGAACGTTAATGTAGAATGTAATTATAACTTTTTTAAAGTTCTATAATGTTGTCATTTTATGAATTTAATAAGCTTCCTATCTTTTTCACCATGTCTTAAACAATTGGTGTTCAATGTTAACCTAATGTTTCTACTTGTTCAGATAATTCCGAACTTCTGAATTCCAGAAACTTCCAAATTCTGAATTTTTGGCTAGTCCCACAGGTGTTCGATTTTCAGAAGTTACACTGTACTTCAAAATTCAAATACATGTATATGTTTCTTGTCATCACCCACATCATAACTATTTGGCAAGGTTCATAATTCTAGCAGTGATGTTATCAGAATTGTCATCCTTGAACTTTGATTTTTTAAAAAAAAAATAATGTTTGTGTTTTTAGAACTCTTAACTTGTCTATTTCAAGAATTACAATGTATGTCAATACACTCGATAGGGAGAGCTTTTGGGGTGTTTTTAACTAAGAGTCACTGGTTGGACCTTGGGAGATGCAAATTTCTCTGTGACAGTCTTTGACATTGACTCGATTGGGAATTTATCTCTCATCACTGATTCAGAAATCATAAGAGATAAGTTGTCTCTCACTTGTAGAGAAGTTGGATTATTATGTGTTTGATTACCAGAAATGCTGATGAGGTAGATCATTCTCTAAGATATGATGAAAAATGTGACCAACCTAACTTATATCTATGCATTGACTTAACTTTTTGATAGACATGAAGATTTCTGATATTTATAAGAGTTCAAAAGTTAAGAAAAGAAAACAATCATTGTAAGCTTAAGAATATTTTGTTTGAATTTTCATTATATGTATCTATTGACTATATTTACAGTACATATGTATATCTTTTTCTGTTTCAGTTTTTCAGTGTGATGGATATAGAAGAAAATATGATTTTTATGCATGTTGATAATAAAGAAGGTATGTTTTTATTATCCCCCGCCGAAAATTTTCGGCGGAGGATATAGAAATAGTCTCTGTCCGTCCGTCCGACATTTTTGTCCGGAGCATATCTCTAAAAGTATTTGAGTTATCAACTTGAAACTTCATAGGTGGATAGACCTCATTGAGGAGGAGTGCAGTGCACAAGAATGATAACTCTACCTTGCATGATTTTTGAGTTATTGCCCTTTGTTATTTTTCAAAATTGATTTTTGTCCAGAGCATAACTCCAAAAGCCTATGAGATATTAACATGAAACTTCATAGGTGCATAGATCTCACTCAGGAGGTGTGCAGTGCACAAGAATGATAACTCTACCTTTCATAATTTTTGAGTTATTGCCCTTTGTTATTTTTCATACCTAATTTTTCACCTGAGTGGAGCATAACTCAAAAAGTGTTTGAGATATCAACATGAAATGTCATAGGTGGATAGATCTTATTGAGGAGGAATGTTGTGCGCAAGAATGATAACTCTTTCCTATACAATTTTGAGTTATTGCCTTTGTTTTTTTTCATGCTATTTTGTCCAGAGCTTATCTCAAAAAGTATTTGAGGTATCAACTTGAAACTTCAAAGGTAGATGGATCTCATTGAGGAGGAGTGCAGTGCTTAAGAATGATAACTCTACCCTGCATTATTTTTGAGTTATTGCCCTTTGTTATTTTTCAAAATTTATTTTTGTCCAGAGCATAAATCAAAAAGCCTTTGAGATATCAAAATGAAACTTCATAGGTGCATAGATCTCACTCAGGAGGTGTGCACTGCACAAGAATGATAACTCTACCTTTTATAATTTTTGAGTTATTGCCCTTTGTTATTTTTCATACTTAATTTTTCAATTCAATTTTTTTCTCAAAAAGTATTTGAGGTATCAACTTGAAACTTCATAGGTGGATAGATTTTACTGAGGAGGAATGCAGCACACAAGAATGATAACCTACTCTGCATTATTTTTCAGTTATTGCCCTTTGTTATTTTCAGCCATCAGTATTCACATAGGTTTCAAATCTGTAATCACTATAGCCATCAGTTTTCATTACCAAAAAACCTCTTAAGATGGAGTTATTCTGCTCTACTACATATACATTCTTGCAATGAGCAAACACATTTGGCGGGGGATGGCCATGTTGACATGGCTCTTGTTTTGAACCAGGTTTTCAAAAGGTATAAAATAGTATTTTTTAAAGATTGAAGTGATACAGGAGGTGGCTGGATAGACAGGCAAAAACAATTTCTTCTCTTAATTTCACAAGACATTATAGACCCTCACAGTACTATCATTGATATGCGTTTTGGTGCATATTTATGTTACTCTTTATTTGATTATTTTTTGTCGTCACATTGTTTTCTTCTCACTTATGTCATGCTGGCAGAATTTTTTTTTTTTGACAATATCCTTGCACTGGTTTAATATTTTATTGAGGTTACAACTTTGATGTATATATCCTTTATTCTGGCATTAACTTAGCAATAGTTAAGGGACTTTTTAACAGCTGGAACCTAGAGTTTCTGTACTTTTATATTAAGGTAAATATAAACAAAAAAATGGTGTGGAAGATCTTACTTGCAGCATTTACAAACTTGTTCTTACAATGTGTTTACAGATACCGGGCATGGTACACTTTACACATCAGCCAACCAAGGTATTGTTTACTCTATATCACTTACAAGGCATCTGTTTCCGAACTATGGGGAGATCCATGACTTCTACAAGGTGAAGTCAATGCGTGGCGTGTATATCACAAGTCAGATGAGCGATGATGATTCTATACATACAATGATTACATATGATCAAGGTGGTAAATGGCAAAAAATTCCTCGTCCAGTTGGTGTACCATGTAAAGATGAATCTAAGGTAGCTTTTATGGAAATGTTAATTCTAGATTATGACCTTTAGATTGTTTGTGGGACTATAATCTAAATGAAAAATGTACTCAACATTTAACTGTAATAGATGAGCTTACTACTTTAAGTTTTGTCAAGTAAACTATAAAGTGGCATTATGTCCATTTTTTCATTGTCAAGTTGAGATACATTGACTATATATTTCAAAAGATTGACCATTTAGTCTGTTTATATATAGACATACCCTATAATGAATGTAATTTTTTTTCAGGGCTGTTACCTTCAGATTCATGGCATGTACAGTTTAAAGCGTGGTATCAATGCTAACTTACCTATCAGTGAAAAAACTGCTACAGGACTTATCCTTGTTCATGGTAATCTATTACATCGTTTACTGTTTTATACTACATCAATTCAGATCTTTGGGGAAAATATTTGTAATTCAAATGATGGGTGGAAGAAGTTAAGTCTCTGATAATGTTCTTCAAGCCCCCAGCAAAGTGACGTAGTCAGTCTTTGTAAAAGATCACAAAGAGTTGAATCCTTGTATTCTATTATCATAGTGTACTTTGTTTATGTTAAAAACTTGGATTAGTAAGGACTTATGTATTTATTTAAGATGTACATAATGCAAGGAATCATTCATGTATTTTAAGGTGTAAATGATCAAGTTTGATTTAAAATCATGTATACATGTATATTCAAGTTATATATGATCAGATTAACAAGGAACCATCTATGTATTTAAGTTGCAAATGGTCAGGTTTGATTAGATGTTGTAGGGAACAAATACATGTTCCCCTGATTCACAGCCAGTGTATTTCTTGGTCATGTTTCAGTTCAGTGATTTATAAATATCAAACATATTATAACATGTATTTATCAGCTCATGTGGCAGAATCACTTCAGAAGACAGAACCAGATGTGTTTATATCTAGAGATGGGGGATATACGTGGAATCTGGTATAATATTACTTCTTTTATCACTTAATTTCAGATATTTAAAACACCTGCCATTATCAGTTGTAGATTCAATCTGGCCTGGAATGTAAATTGTTTTATACAATAAAGTTATCCATTAAGCTTAATGTATGTCAGTGGTTCTATCTAGGGATCAGAAATAATGCACAGAGAGGCATATAGAATGATTCACCAGTGTTGACCTTGGGAATGATTCCAGAGCAGTTTCACAACCTTTTTAAAATGTACACGAAAAAAAAGAGAGAAAAAGAATGGAAGAGGACAATTCAAGATGCCTCTCTTCATTATTTCAAATACAAGTGTGCCACTCAAAATAGAAGTAGCAACTTTCAGTTATCTCCTTCTGTTGAATAGACTAGTTATAAGCCAGCTGCTTTCACTTAAACTTTACTGTTATCAGAGGTGATAAGTTTTTGAGGCCATTATAGAGTCAAGCCTGCACATCCATTCTGTCAGACCAGGCTATATACTGTTGATAACTCATGATTTTATCCTTATTTTCTTAATTTATGTTGTAATAATTTCAGTCATTACCGGGTGCACACCATTACCAGATATTAGATCATGGAGGGTTACTTGTTGCTGTGTCTAAGTCAGATCCCAGTCCAAAGGTTTTACGATTTTCATTGGATGAAGGTCGTTGCTGGCATGACTATAAATTTACAGATCAAGTTCTCAACTTCACAGGTAAAGTAAATAAAATATAAGAATTTTTTTTTTCATAGTTCTTCTTCTTTTACTGCATCCAGTATTTTATTACTCGAACATGCTATCTCCTTTGTCAGCTGTTGTTTAAAGATCCTGTATGTTGAAATTCAGGTTGTATACCACACTTAAGTGAAATTATATATATGTATATAATTCTGCTTATGATACAATTTTCAAACATCTTAGAATATGTAAAATATGAAATGCTAATATCAGTACACATTAAAAGTAAACATTAAAATCTATGGATTCATTTCTTATTGAAAAATTTGACTTAGATTTTATAGAAAATCAATTTCTAATTACCTCCTTTTATTAACATGAAATGTTAAAAGTCGGTTATACCTTTATAAATAATGCTTTTTGACACTTACAATATTGATAAATCTTAATTTGAGCACCATATTTATGATATAGAACCATTAAAGAAATGTGTTACAGAATCTTTAAAATAAGTTAATATAATGAATATAAGGCTAGAGAGGTAAAGGTTTTTACTGGCAAAGTCCATAAATATGATAACAGATATAAGAGAAGGTTTTAAACTTTAACTTTATACAAATTCAGATAAATTTATCAACAAGCCAGACAAAGTATCTGACCAAATATTTTGCTGATAAGTCCCTTGACTTAACATAATTCAGTGGAAACTACACAACCTACGTCCCATACCAACTAACGCAATATTAGTTACCATAGATGTTGCTGCACTTTATACGTCTATCCCACATAAAGACGGCATTATAGCATTAAAAGAAGCACTTAATAAACGCCACATACAAGAACAAAAAACTTGGATCATTTTACGACTCATGTTATTTGTGTTAAAAAAAACTTGTTTCAAATTCAACGAAGAATTTTACGAACAAATATCAGGCACTACCATGGGAACCAAATGCGCACCCAGCTATGCAATCATCTTTATGGCACATTTTGAATCAAGATTTCTACTAACCCAGAAAGTCAAACCTTTGATATGGTGGGGATATATAGACGATATTTTTATGATTTGGCCGCACATCAGACAGGAATTGTATTCCTTCATGGCCTCTTTAAACAGTTTCAGCCCGGCAATCAAATTTACACATGATGAAGACCTCAGGTCAGCACATTTTCTAGATGTACACATAACAAAAGACGAGGTAGGAAGACTACATACCAGTTTGTATACAAAACCCACCGATGCACACATGTATCTACATTATACTTCCTTCCATCCTGAACACCAAAAGAGAAGCATTCCGTACAGTCAAGCCGTAAGAATATGCCGTATATGTAGCAATGACCAATCTTATAAAGAATGCACTAATTGTCTCTACGAAAACCTAAGATCTAGAGGTTACCCTTCCAGTCTCATATGTAACGCAATAAATAAGGCTAAAAACTCAATAGACTTGAACTTCTTTCTGAACAACAAAAGAACACGGAATCAAAAAATGTCAACCCGTTCATAACAACGTATAACCCCTATGTTCCAGATATACAAAAGATCCTCAACAATTGTTTAAAATTATTAACTAATAACACATCTACGCGTTTCATAAATAATTCTAAAATCATTGCTGTTCACCAAAAAACTAGAAATATTAAGAATAATCTTGTCAAAACAGACTTAAATCCACAACATGAAGTAAATGGAAGTTATCCCTGCAAACAGAACTGTATAACATGCAGATACGTCTCAGACGAAACACACATAACGAGTACAACTACAAAACAAACCTATAAGATTTATGGACACCATAATTGCAGAACAATAAGCGTGATATATTTGATAACCTGCAAAAAATGCGGACTACAATATGTAGGTCAAACAGGTAACTCCCTAAGAGAACGATTTTATGGACATATAGCGGACATTAAATCAAATAATTATGTTAAGCCGGTTTCCCGCCATTTCAATAGTGCGGGACATAACGTAAAGAACATTGACGTCAGAGTAATACAGCACACAGAACGTAATCAAAACATACATTTACTAACTGAAGAAGCGTGGATCAAACGATTACAAACAAAAATGCCGTTTGGACTCAATTTAATATAATGACAGCAGAATTTATGGCAAGAAAACTAGATGATTATACTAAACATGAACTCGATCAACTCAACTTTATTGAAGCTCGTCCAATTCATCATTTATGTGGAATATGCGGCCAGGCAACATATAACAGATGGCAAAAACAAAGACACAATAAAACACACAAGGATACCATTACCAAATACGAATGCTGGTGGTGTAAAAAACTGTATGCCAGAAAAGACAATCTTATAACACATTTCCGTAAAATACATGGATTTTAAGAACTCACATTTAATACAACTGAAATACAACGACAAAACAAACTGGATACAATCAAACAACTGAATGGCAACACTAACATGAAAATTCTTCTAGAAAAACCCAAATTTAGAATCGTCATTAACAAAACTGGAAGACCAACCATTAAGAAAAAAAAACTTAGGAACAACACATAGTCATAAGAACGAGAACATCACCGCTAAACAGAATCCAGAAACAATGGTCTTCAACATACCGAACCCTATATCACCAATACCGGCAAGCCCTAGCACAAGCTCTGAAACCATCTGTCAGGATGAGTACCTTTGTTTTAACTCGGACAATGAACTTATAATCAATGTAAATAGAATATATGGACTTCTCTCTAACAATTAAGAACTCTATAAATAAAACAGACCAGCATTTAAATAATTAATTGGCATTTTGCCAATATTGACTCTATTTTAAGTAACAATTTATCTATATTTAGTAATATACGTCATATAACGTAGCCGTTTTTTTACCACCTTAAGAGACAAAATTTTTATTAAAATTGTCCTGATGAAGGTCGTATAGACCAAAACTAGTAGACCCAAATTAATATTGTAAACTTGCTCTGGTGTTGACGTGTATTACTCGTTAATTCATATTTCCTTGGTTGATAATTCAAAATTATGCATTTTGTTTTCAAGTATATGAGTTTGTTTGTTTTCCTTACATTATGTTGATATAATGAAGTTTATGTTGATATAGTAATGTTTATATTGATATAGTATACAGTTGAGACTGTCATATGTGACTTTCCAAGGGACCCTCAGAAAAATGTCACATATGACAGGGAGTCTCTTAATACAGTCTCAATGAATATTGAAATTTAAATACCATCTATCTGTCTATATACCATTGTGACTTAACATATATATAACTGTGTGAAGGAATAAAAACAAACATTTGGAAATTAAAAATAGATACTTTAAATATTTGATGAAAATAAAAAAGAATCCCTGTAAAGCAAATATAAGTGCATGTTTATCATATAAATTTTATATTATTTTTTAGTCCCCTACCGGTTTAACCGGAGAGGACTTTAGGTTTACCCTCCGTCCGTCTGTCCGTCCGTCTGTCTGTCAGTCCATCAGTCCACAAAACTGGATCCCGCGATAACGCAAAAAGTACTAAAAATATTTCTATGAAACTTGATATATGGATAGATGGCAGTATGGAGATTATGCATGTCTTTTTCTTTTGTTCCTATGTTGAAAATTCTGGTTGCTATGGCAACAAATAGTCTGAAAATATGGCACATTTGACACATAAACTGGATCCAGTGATAACTCAAAAAGTACTGAAAATATTTTTTTATGAAACTTGAAATATGGGTAGATGGCAGTCTGAAGATTATGCACATCTTTTTCTTTTCTTCCTATGTTGAAAATTCTGGTTGCTATGGCAACAAATAGCCTGAATTTCAAGGTTTCTGATTTAAATTTTTCAGTTTTTTCTCTATACGTTCTTTATTTCTTAAGGTGTTTACTTCAAACTTTAAATATAAGTTTCTGGTCATCAACCACATCATAATTATGTGACAAGGTTTACAACTCTAGCACAAAAATTATCAGTATTACCTCCCTTGAACTTAGAATTTTTATGAAAAAAAAAATGTTGTCTTTTTAAATAACTTTTTTATTTCCTAATGTATCTACTTCAAACTTCATATATATGTTTCTTATTATCACTCAACATTTTTGAGAAGGTTAAATACTCTTGCAAGACTATTTCCAGAATTATGTCCCCCTTGAACTTTTTTTCGAGAAATTGGTATTTTTTACTCCAACTTCTTCATTCCTTATAGGATTTACTTTAAAATCCCACATCGTAATAATATGACAAGGTTGTATAAACATAATTTCCTTACTAGGCAGGGAAACTTAACACATTACTGTGATATAGACAAACTTAGAACTCAAAAGATTTAAGTTCATTCATGTCATTCATTCACTGTTAAAATTGAATGGCCAATGGCCCATCAGAATGTTGCTGGGGTTCTAACCGGTAGGGGACTTATGGATTGCTTGCAATACTTTGATAATTGCTTGTTTGTATTAGATTTATATTGAATCATTATGGTACAAAATAAACTTGAATTTGATGCATTCAATCCTTAAAATAAATGTCATACTTTTAAAAACATATTAACATTTTTCTGTTCTATTCATGCAGCCATAGAAAGGTAATCTTAAAAAAATATGCTGCCTAAAAAATCTTCCGTTAGCACTCCACAATTGTTGTTTAAAAAATCTGACACAAGTCTTAATCCAGTTTACTCAGGTCATTATGTTCATTACACCTCAATTTATTAACACACCGATAGCATCATGCTTACCATATTTGGCAGTAGGGAGTAGACACTATGTCACTTGTTAGTATACATGTAAACCAGTAATTGAGGCAGAGACTACTGGATTATAATTGGACTTAATTATTTTGCCCCTCTGGGTGTTAAAACAGGTATTATTTATCTGATTAACGGACAATTAAAAGGTGTAAAGGTCATTTTAATCAGACAAAGCAATACATTGGGACCAGAAAATATGGGTCGCTTGTCACATATGACAGGGAGACATATAATTCAGACCATTTATGTAGGAAAATATGTTGGGAGGACTGAAACAAGGTCGGATAAGACAGGGAGTCGTTGAAGTCAGGGGGTCGCTAAGGCAGTCTTGACTGTAGTTTATGTTGTTTTGTTTCACCAAAACACAATGTTTTAAGGTGATCATTTAAGGACAAATAGTTGTCTGTTGTCCATCATTTCTCATCCCACTTTTGTTTTGATAACACTATAGTAATGTATGATAATGATATTTAGTCAAATCTGTGTGTAAACTTTAAATAAAGGCAGGTTGTTTTTCTAAATAGTTAGTTCAAATGTAAAAATGAATACTGAGCTGAAGTGACAATGGTCTTTATATATAACAGTTGTTCAGGAACATCCATTGCTTTGCTGAGGTGCACATTCGGATGAATAGATGAGACTTTTGGGTATTTACACTGCAATAAAGGTTGAATATTGGTTATCTATGTCCAGAACCGTAAGGTTGTGACTTAAAACCTAAACCCCATAATTACTGTGAGAGTATTTCATTTAACAGTTATAAATAATTAATAGAACATATAATAGTAAGAAGTTGACTATATAATTTTGTATCTACAGGTTTAGTGACAGAACCAGAGGGGAAAAGTGCTGTGGTTATGCTATGGGGATATGTGCAGGAAACAAAGAAATGGGTTGTAAATGTGGTTGATTTTGAGAAAGTCATTGACAGAAAATGTGAAGGTATGTATTTCATTATGTTCAAGTTTAAAAAATTAGATAAAACATGAAGATGTCATTCCATTGAGGAAATTTAGATAACTTGAATGTCTTGTACTGAGGTAATGTGTCATACCTATGACCAAGGCAGGATCATTTATCACTCTTAGTGGTCAAATTGCTATAGTTAAAGATAACTCTATAGAAATGTAAACCCTTTTATGCCCCCACTCTGGGAGGCCGTGGGCTTTTAGATTGAATCTTGTCTGTCCAGCAATGAGTTCCATGTTGTGTCGCATGAAACTCTTGAAGTGCTTGAACTAGAGTCAAAACATTTTATTGGATTTTCGATCATCATGTGGAGTTGTGAACCTGGCGGTTTGCTTGAACATTTATTCATTATTTGTAGAGCAAATGCCCTTGACGTAGTAAAAAATTTGCAATTTTTAGCGTGTGTCTCGAGTAACTCAAAAAATATTTGACCAATATTAATCAAGTTTTACAGGAATGTTGGTCAGCATGTGTAGTTGTGCACCTGTGGGTTTGCTTGTTTTTATTTTCTTTTAAGCATACAATGTACTTAGAATATAAAATTGAGATCAGAAATTCTTGCAGGTCAATATCTTGAAAAATCAAGATGTCATCATTGTAAAATTGGATGTCATTTTTATGCCCCAGCCACTTAGGGGTAGGGGGAGTTATGTAGAATTTCCTTAACCTGTTCATATTTCATAATGTCCTGCTGTATATCACTGACAAAACAGTGGAATGTGGGGGCATCTGTGTCTTAGGGACCGTTTCTAGTTAGACAATGTATTTTGCAATAACTAGGACTGTATTCACTATGTTTTAGGTTAGATTTAAATGTCAACATTTGATCTGTTGTGGTCTTCCTGTTTATTGTTAGGAGAGAAGTGATTTATACGTAAATATTGCATGATAACAGTATATAATATTTTTTGTTACTTCATCAGATAATGATTATGAACCGTGGAAGGCTCACTCTGCCTTGAGAGTTAAAGGGATACCTGAAGATCAGGGATGCCTGCTTGGTATAAAAGAGACTTTCCTTCGGTTAAAGAAAGATTCATGGTAAGTAGTTTTGTAAAATTATTTTTATTTGGATCTGGAATTGCTTGCTTAGTTCAGTAATGATAGTGTAAGATCAATCATCCAAGCATTCTGTTTCAACATGGTAATGACGTTGATGGCTCAAGGTCACCCTTGAAGGTGAAATTTCAGACAGTTATGTATGCCTTCATAAATACATTACCACTTGAAGGATTTTCTCAGTCATTGGTCAGTCATCAGCAAGGTGATGTGTAAACGCCAAGATCAAGGTCACACTAGAAAGTCAAATGTCAGACAACTTTTTGGATGCTCACTGCATCCTATATCCCTTAAAGGATTTTCTTCAAACTTGGCTCAAATGCTCACCTCGATAAGATTATATGCAGAACCCATGCCACTGCTTTGCTGGCTTAAGGTCACCAGTAAAAGTCAATTGCCTGCCAATTTTAATTTTTGTGTCAGCTCTATGAATTCGAAACTCCTTGATTGACATTTTGAAAACTTGCTTAAATGGTTTATTTCAAAAATAAGGATAAAATGGACCTATATAAAATCCTGTGACAGTTCTGTCAAATTTCAATGAAATCTAGATAAAGTTGACAGTGATGCTGCAGTACATTAGGTCAGTACTGGAAAGCTTTAAAAGTTATATTATTTTTCTTTTGAAAGTGGTGGTATAAGATATTTTGATAAGAATAATATGAATAAGACTGTCAGTTTATTCATCTATTTGTTTACAGGTGTTTGAATGGTTATTATTTACCTATTTGTTTACAGGTGTTTAAATGGTTATTATTTATCTATTTGTTTACAGGTGTTTGAATGGTTATTATTTATCTATTTGTTTACAGGTGTTTGAATGGTTATTATTTATCTATTTGTTTACAGGTGTTTGAATGGTTATTATTTATCTATTTGTTTACAGGTGTTTGAATGGTTATTATTTACCTATTTGTTTACAGGTGTTTGAATGGTTATTATTTATCTATTTGTTTACAGGTGTTTGAATGGTTATTATTTATCTATTTGTTTACAGGTGTTTGAATGGTTATTATTTACCTACTTGTTTACAGGTGTTTGAATGGTTATTATTTACCTATTTGTTTACAGGTGTTTGAATGGTTATTATTTATCTATTTGTTTACAGGTGTTTGAATGGTTATTATTTATCTATTTGTTTACAGGTGTTTGAATGGTTATTATTTATCTATTTGTTTACAGGTGTTTGAATGGTTATATCCATGAACAGAAAAGTAAGAGAGAATTTTGTACATGCACAAGAGAAGATTATGAATGGTAAGTGCATACTTCAGTAATACATTGAACATGGCATAATCTGAACTGATTCACATGATTTATGTCAGCCTTTGATGAGAGCAATAGCCAGATATGATACACATGTACTTAATGAGGGCTTTTATTACTGAGTATTTAAATTTCCATAAGAAAAGAAATTAACAAATACAATGATTATTTTCAAGAAGTTTTCATGTGGATATGACACAGTTATGTATAGTTATTAATTCCCTTCTCAATGTAATTACCTCTTTATTTATTTAAGTACTATATAAATTTGATATATCGAAGTTGAAGGGACTTCAGTAAAAACTTGGAGATGTTGGGACTTCAAAACCTGTATTGGTCTCAATATAATGACAAAGTTCCGAGCTGTTGAGGGTGTTAACGCAACCAGTGCATATTAAAGATATCATGTGCGATCATCTCACAACGCTGGATCTCTGAAAATCCAAAACCAAACTTATTTGTAGTGTTATTTTCATATACAACTGTGGCAATTAGAATGTCTACAATGTAAGCATATTCACACACATAGGAAAGTAACGAAGGCTGTTTGGACACACTTTTGTGTAAATAGCACCTGTAAAGGGCAAATGCCAGACAATTTAGCACCATATAAGTTGATCTGCAATCATCATTGCATAGGTGTAAAAATATCTTGTGATCTAAAGTGTTGTTATGGTTGTTAGTCTTCACTGGAAAGTGGCAAAATTATAAAAAAAAATTTATCTCAGTCCTGTATTACTTAATTATTTATTTCAGTGACTACGGCTACTTTAGACCAGGTAGCTCTGACAACTGTGTTAAAGAACCAGATTTCCAAGGACCTGAGATTGATATATGCATGCATGGGCATGATGAAAAACTTGTGTCAGAAGGGTAAAACATAATTATCATTATCCTTTGTTAATTATTTCAATTCTGGTGCTGTCAATATTTTTATTATACATACACGAATGAAATATGAAATAATTTAAATGTATTCAGGCCACTCATGGCCTAGACACTTAGTTTTGTTTAAGGTGAGAAAGTTTTAGCACATGTATACAAAAAACAAACAAAAATATTATTTTCCTGATTGTTTGATTTCAGTATATTTTCCATAAAATAAGTTTAAATTGTATACAGTTCTCAAATTAAAATTCATGACAATTAAAATAAATCTATATTAAATAAATGTTTTTATTTTTAAACTTTTTTTGTCTATTTTAAAATGTACAAATGTTGGGATATGCTTACTAAAGGTATTCGCTCATTGACTGGATGATTTACTGGTTCAATTACTTATAACAATCGTCTACCAATGGGGTACAAATGGTAGCATTTTAAAACCTCTGTAAATCATAGTGTCTGTAAATCATAGTGTCTGTAAATCATAGTGTCTGTAAATCATAGTGTTAGTTTTAATTAACTATGAGATGTTAAAATTGATGCAACTTCCAAGCTTTTATATACATGGGCATGTACAAAATGTAACTCACTTAAAAACGTCTGAGACAGTTGTTTATTTGATTTGATCTGATTTGATTTAAAATATTTACGGTATATTTTTTTGGCATTTAATATAATTGTTACCATGACACACTGGGATATGTCTTGTATATTTATAGGTACAGGAAAATACCTGGTGATAAGTGTAAGAATGGTTTCAAGCCAACATCTAAGATTATTGACCTGAATAAAGTTTGTGATGAGTATGGAAATAGCATTGTACAATTTGATGAACAACAAGAACAAGTGGTAAGTTAGATTTTGATGAGAAATACTCTAATCATACAGATATATTACAATCACTGAAATATTTCCTTTATTAGGCACTAGCCACTCTTTTATCATTGATTTTTTCATGCAAGGAAGCTGTCCAGCTAGAATAAGAAATGTTAGGGAATTCGTTTAGGTGCCTACCCATGTATGAAATCTATCTATTACAATGATGTAAATATTTCACCATAAAGGTGTCAGTCTGCACTAAAAACACATCTGTTATTAACTTGGGGACAATTTATGAAATTGCTTCAAATGTAAAAAAAAAAATTGTCACTCTTGTTTGATGAAATTGTCAACAATATTGAAAATAGTTTATTTTTGCAATGTTTACCGCAACCCTTGTACATGCATGAATGTTTTTAACAACTGATTCTTCTGTGAAAACATACTGATTTAAAAAAAAAACTGTATACTGTAATGAATATATTACCTGTACTTATAATCTAAATACCTAATATGATTGCAGGCTAGTCAAAATGGATTTGGTCGTGGCATAAAGATTCTAGCCATTATAATAGTGTCTGCAGTGTTGTTGCTAGCAGCAACCATGGGGGTATACTTTGTCAGAAAATTCATTCTTCTTAGAAGACAGTAAGTATTGTTTTATGCAGTATGAATTTGTGATTATACTAGTACACAAGATTTATATTTAGCCATTACCTTGCTAGCAGCAACAGATTTTACCCGTGCAACCAGTCTAGACCAGATTAGTCAGCACTTCTGATGGTCTGCACTATTCACTGTTCTGTCAGTACATATTTTGAAATTTTCCCTAAATAAGATAAATGGTTTCATCCAGCTTGAAAGATGAAAAAGTCTATTTAAGATATTTAGAATGGTAACGGTTGAACAGGGATAGTTACCTTCATGAGGTTGTTTATGGAAGCATAAGGTGCTAAGAATAAAGGGCGCGTAGGAGAGCTGGGTTTTACTTTCTATAAACATGTTTGATAACATACTGTTTGTCCCACCTGACACAAATTGTTTGATACAAGATGAAGGAAGTAATTTGTGTTATTACATAAAAGTATAGGTGAAAACCTGTATAGAATTCAGTATACAGTTATTTCATATGTGATTTGGGAACAGTCAAAATGTTGGCCCGAGGTGGAGGGGGTAGTGTTTTGAACTGATGCCCAAGGCCGTAGGCTGAGGGAAACAGTTCAAAACACTATCCCCGACACCGAGGGACAACTGTTTAACTGTTCCAAAATCACATATGAAATAACTGTTTTATTACCTGATCAATTAGCTGTTTTAACAGTACTTGCAGAAGAAAAAAAGAACAAGAAATAGTTTTGGAAAATTAGTCACAATAATTTAATAATACAAAACTTAATACTTTAACAGTTTATGTTTGCAAGTAACGTTTAAACTACTTAGCAAAGATTTCATGCAAGTGTCATTTGCTTTTAAGGCAATCATACTACCATATTTTTTGTTACACAAGCATTTTGAAAGTATACTTCTTTTTTTTAAATCAAACAATAATTTGCAGCAGATATATAGTATCATACACTTTTAAGTTCACTATATTTTAAAGTTTGATATATTATTAATATACAGTAAAACAGAGTACAGATATTCACTGCTGAACCAAGGAGAACAACAGAACCTGATGGATGATGATGATGAAGAGGAGGAAAATAAAGCTGTGTCATCTACTGTCAGATATGAAGATTCCGATGATGAGGTATAATCAATTAATGTTTCTCTGTCTTAAAAAAATCAGTTGGAATAATGCTGTATTGTTAAATTGTATTTGTGTGTTTTTGGGCGTTGTCGTTCTTTTAATACTCAGTTTCCATACCTTCTTATTACCTTCTTATTGAATGTACATGGCAGTCATGTCTGTTGGTTTAAATTTTCTTGACTTCCAGTCATTTGAATTTATTCACACAAAGTTACCTAGCTAGCTTACAGAACATTAGTGTTTTTACTAAGTTGCCACCTTGTGCCTGACATGAATAAACAAAGGGGCATTTAGGGTTACCCTGCACCACTGAAGATTGTACGGTGCAATATATTTGTTTGTCAAAGATCCCTAATGGTGTGACTGAATGAATTCTTAAAAAAAAAAATTGGTGTTTTAATCTTTTCTTATTGTTTTGTTCTTAAATGATAGAGAAAAGGCTTCTTTTATCTGTGATAACCTTGACTCTTGTGATCTCAAACTCCAGTCAAATGTAAAACTGTAAATTGTTTATATCAGCATTGACTTACCATAATTATCAAATTTAGCAGATGCCAGTTTTATTTAAACTAAAAATGAAATCAATGACCTATGACAAAACGATATTTATTCAAATAAAATTGATATCAGTTATATATCTAAATATTTGTTGATATTTTGACTTTAGGAGTTGAATACAACAGTGCGCCCAGCTAAACAAAATGGTGTAGTGAAAAAGACGTCTAAACCAAAGGACACCAATCCATTTGGATCTTACCATGATGACTCTGATGATGTAAGAACTTTTGATGTCTTTACTGCTATTATTTTCTCTACCTGTATATATATATATAGGGCATTAGATAGAAAGTTAATCTTTGTTGTATTTTGTTAGAAAAAAAAAGATGGAAAAGCCCCTGCAGTATTTGCATAGTATTACATTGACATATGCCTTTTTCATTTTACAATGATTTCTTTTAGCTTCATGTAGTTTATTTTTAATAATGCATTCTTTAAGTATCAAGGGTCACTTTGGAGTCTGTTTCCTGGTTGAACCAGTTCTAATGTTACATAGAAAAACATAACATATCTCCCCAGTAGAGGATGTAACCATAAATACTGGGTGCACAGATGGGCCAATTAACATGGAGACTATACTTATAATGTACAATATGACCTCTACAAGGTGTCAAGGGTTAAATAAAAGTAGATATGAATCTTGTCTCATTTTAATTTATTCAAAGTCATTTAAACAAGTGACTTCTTGAAGATTAAGGAAGTGAAGTATCTAGAAGAAAATTTAGATAAAAATGATTTTAGAATATTAAAATATTCAACATATTTTATCTATTTACAGGATATGCTGAGTTAATGTTGATAAAAGATGGTGTTTTTTGTAAAGAGACTTCATTACATTACCAGACGTTACACTGTATATACATGTATATACTAAATGTAACTGAACAGAAATCCTACTATAAGAGATGAACAGACATAGACACTGTGATACACTCTAACATTCAACTTCAAATCTACACCGTATTCTCATATTATAATATGATCTAGGGATCTGACTTCATCTTACTATTATTACCGTGTCACGACAAAACCAACATAATGTGTTTGCAACCAGCATGGATCCAGACCAGCCTGCACATCTGCGCAGTCTTATCAGGATCCATGCTGTTCACTATCAGTTTCTCTACTTGTAATAGAGTTGGTAAGCGAACAGTATGGATCCTGATCAGACTGGGCGGATGTGCAGGCTGGTCTGGATCCATGCTGGTCGCAAACACATGTTGGTTGTGTCATGGTGTGGCTCAAATTTAATTTTGTAGATGATATGTACATCATTCATTCAGTCACTGTAGGGGGAAGGCATCATTCAGTATATACACATATTATCAACTGTATGTTTTTTTCTCCTTTAAAATTATTGCTATAAAATAAGATCTGTAAAGAATACTATGAATTGATTACATCAACATGTTATAATATTATATTACATTAAAATTGCTAATACTTTGACCTTAACTATATATTTCTTGAAAAAATATGTTCCTGTTTATTTAGCATTATTTTCCCTAAATTAAAAATTCAATCTGATTTTTTTTCATGGCAACATGTTGAGTTAGATTAAACTTAAAATGGCATAGTATTTAAATGTTTTAACAACATTTTGCTTTGTTTTGTCAAATCTGCAATTTTTGCAAAAATGTTGAACATTTTATGTTATATATAACATGTACTTGAGTTGTAGAAAACATTGACATTTGGTTCTTATGCTTTCATAGCTTTTTTGTTTGTTGCTTTTTTGGTTTCATTTTTATTTTACACTAACAACATATCATTATGTACATGTATGTTTCCTGAATATTTATTTGGAATTTTGTTATGTATATAAATTTATTAATAATACACCACATTATGATACTTTACTTGTCTGCAAGTGTTATTTAAGTACTTATTTATTCTGATAAAACTGTTCTGATCTGCAGTCAGTGGGGATAAAGACAGGTGTTTTAAAGACAATATAATATAATAATGAGGGAAGTTGTATTATTATATATTAGCTACACCTATAATGGATTAAATAAAACAGAAGTAGACTGTCAACTTAGGGCAAAAAATGTAGTATTGACTAGAAAACTTTATCATATAAGTTCAAGCTGAGATGTGTATAAATTTTAGCATAATATTACAACTGTAATGTGTAACTCACATCACCAAAGATAACCAGCTTTAGGTAAACTTTATTCCTTTATTTTTCTTATGAGATGATACAAAATTGTAAGGAATGGTCAAAAATAAGACGGAGTTTTCTTATTAAATGATAATTTTGTTGTTTTGTAAGCATTTACTGCTAATTGTATATGAAATAGATAGTATGATGTATTTAGTGGAATAAAACCAGACTTACTGAAATGCCCAAGCTATGAACTATAGGCTTACAATATTTGTGTTGGAATTGCTGTACTGTTGAAATTTTCTGTGTTACAGTTGTATCAGAATAAACTGTTTGCTGTCTTAATTTATCGTGTACATGCAATGTATGCTTATATTTGCCTACAATGTAATTTACTAACCTACATATTCAAAATGTTTATTGTTTGTGTTGATATTATTTTAATTTCCTTATTTTTGTGCTGTAAATGAAACATTCTTTTTTCTGCTGTTGCTTTAGTCTTTTTTCCCTGTGATATATTGCTGCTCATTTTGGATTTTGGTATAAGCAAATTTGTTTCTTATTCATATAAATACTTTCTCTTCGGTTGGATGTAAAGTTTTGGATGAAATTTTGTTAGCAAAAGCTTGACAAAGTCTCCTCTGCAGCTAATTTCCACAGTGAAAATCTTCATCTAGTGTCCTTATGTTCCAAGTATTAAACATTCCTTTACTACTGAATCCAATCATAAACAGGCATTTCTTACAGCAGGATGTTAGATTGGATTACATTTACATGTATATTTGTCTAGATATTGTTTTAGTCTGAACATTGTTTTTACAGCTATCTTATAGATATATATCAATATCATTAACTCATTTAAACTTTACCATTCCCTAAAAAGGAGTTTTCTTTGTTGTAATTGAAGTTGGTAAACAAGTGTGTAAATGATTGTCAAGTTGGTTATGTGACAATTTTATCATTGAATTTCCTATCTTCTACAATTTCTGTCTATTTGATAATCTTCTAAGACATCTTTGTTTGGAAACATCTTTAATTGTTGTATTTTGTTTAAGATTCCCTACAGCTATAGCTTGATTGTATGCTTGTATAGATAGATACCTGACTTTACCTGCATTTCATTCATGCTGGTTTAAGTCCCTCTGGGGTTAGCAAGTTCTATCACACTGAGCTTAAGGTTTGTGATTACAAATATCTTCATTTGTCGGGATAAATCATATAGCTGCAGAGCTTAAAACCAGAATATTGTCTTCACAAAGTTTAACCTTTACTCTGTTATTCTCACCTTTATGACCTTGTAAAGACATTCATAGACATGTTTTATGTATATAGATTATTCATATAATTATATTTTCTTTTTATACATATATATATAACTTGCACACCATGGGTTATTCACATTTGAAATGTTGTCATTCATGTATTTTGTGTATTTAGTTCTATGCAACAAAAAAAAAAATGTTATTTTTTGTGTAAAATCTTTTAACTCTAAGCCAGCTGCACTTTACCCATGTAACCACTGGAAACCAAGATCAGTAGATCTGCACTTAAACTATTCAGACTGTACATATTTTGAAATTTTCCTTAAAAAATGATTAATTCAAGAAGATATTTAGCATTAAAAACTAAATAGACAAACTGAGTTTTATTTTTGGATTAGAAATAATAAAGAAGATACATGTACAAGCTTTTTTATTTGATCAATTGTTGCTATATATCTTTTTGAAGTGAGAGAAAATAATCTTTTGCTTGGTCAACACAAGTAAACAGACTTAAAATATATAATGATGTGAATAAACAAACATTTGTTTGTATTAAAATTTCAAGTCTTTTAAAGATGTATGTCTAATTTTGAAAACAAAAACAACAAAAGCTGTATTTTGTTTCATTGAGATATTTATGTACATTGTGTTTATTCAATACACTAATTTTAATAATATTTCAGTAATAAGGAAAATCTAAAAAAAAAATGTAGTCTTTTGAAATGATAATGATGAAATGAAGTACAACATTTTAATATACACATTACTTACAGTTTATATACTATACTATACAGTCTTACTTTAAATTATGCTGCTAAAAGATCTTTGAAATTGAAATATTTATATTTTATGTATCAGTTGCTTTGATGTTTTACATATCTAAATTACTTTGATTGCAAGGAATATTTTCTTTTCTTTGTCATCTAAAAAGCAATACCAGTAGATTTATTTGTGTTTTTTTTTCAAGTTGAGGGTGAATTTATTTGCTATAAATGTATAAAAGTGGGGTTTATGTTTTATCAAGTTTCTTGAACGTTGTAAGTTATTTTTCTGACATGTAGGATTAATCAGGGTGATGGTCCATGTAACAATTTTAGGTTTTTGGAGAGATTTTCCATGTGTTTATGATACAGTTCTAAAATATCAGTGTAGTTGCCCACCCTGTTTAATATTTACATGTATATTATTATTTGTTACATGTAAACATAGGGTTTAATGCTCATTAAGTGATGACTTATTTTATTTGGTTTTCTTGTTTGTTTTTTTGTTACTATGATTTGTTTTTATATTTTTTTGCCAATTTTGTTTTGGTATTGCTCTTTTTTGTAGAAGTGTGGTTAAAACATAACATTATATATTTAAAGTCAAATATTTCTGTTAACAGCTCATCTGGTAAAAGTGAAAAACAAGTGAGGGAAGAAATTACAAATTAAGTAAATTTCCATCGATGATCTTGAGAAATGGCTATGTCCTCTCAATAAAAGATTGAAAGTGATAATTCAGAAATTGGATCTGATTAAAATTCTTGGAAAAGGTTTTAGTAGTGAATGATGTCACTTACAAACAACTTACCAAGATGAGCTATTTAAGTATAGGTTAATGTTTATTAGTAAGCATTTACAAAATTAATTTGATGAAGATTCGACTGATTTAATTTTGTAAATGCTTACCAGTGAACACTCGCCAATTTAGTGATTGAAATTATTTTTGTAAACAGTTGATTTATTAAACAGATTAATAGTTTGCAGTTTAACATACCAAACACAGCTTTTGCTATTTTCTAACATTTTCTGCTAATTGAACAAGAATTTTATGCAACATTGGTTTTTGTAGCTAAATTTAATTTCTTCTGAAGTTTTTGAAACAGGTCAATGTGGTTTATCATCTTCTGAAGTTTTTAAAACAGATCAATGTGGTTTATCATCTTCTGAAGTTTTTGAAACAGATCAATGTGGTTTATCATCTTCTGAAGTTTTTAAAACAGATCAATGTGGTTTATCATCTTCTGAAGTTTTTGAAACAGATCAATGTGGTTTATCATCTTCTGAAGTTTTTGAAACAGATCAATGTGGTTTATCATCTTCTGAAGTTTTTGAAACAGATCAATGTGGTTTATCAGCATATTGTTAAGTGTGTTATATCTTGTTGGATTAGTTGTACCAGTAAAATACTTCAACTTTGTAACAGATGATCAGTAAAGAATCTGTATATTTTTATCTACATAAGTATGATTGATTCATGTATTTTACTGTTAATTTTTGTCTCTTGACAAACTTGAATCCTTATCAGAGCGTAGTCTCTTGTACTGTTGAAGGCCTATATTTAGAAATGATATAAAATAAAGTTACTGTTTTACTTTTGTAACTAAGTATATGAATCAAACAAAAAGTTTCTTTGTTATTTGTAATCTTTGAGCAGCCATTAATAAAAACTGTAAAACTAAATCTTTTGTTGATTTTTAATATTATGTAGACAATTTGTTACCACACAATTACTTTTGAAAAAGTACATCCATTAGAATCATATTTGACCTGTAAGTATATAATTATGATTTAAAGTATAGGTAAGTTTTAATTTTGGTTACAATCCACCAATATACAATGGTATATTGCCCCTTGCATGGTTGCCTCAACATATGGTTAATTAAAGAGACATTGTTCTCAATATCAACTTTTTTGTTTTGTTGGGTTTCAAGTTGCACCAACATACTTTCCAGCTTTACTGTTGGTGGACGACCTAGGGTGCCCCCTCGGTGTTATTTTAGGAACAAGCATCTGATGTCTGAATAAAACCAACAACATTCTGTTTTAACAGGTGGTCAACAAGTTAGATATTACAATCAGAAATATTTGAACTAATCTATTTAGTACACAGACATGAGCTTATACAATCAGTTACTTGTTCTAATTTAGTCATTGTAAATATTTCTGGAATATGGCTGTATTTTCTTATCTGTTAACAACAAGATTTTGCAGGCATGAGTATTCCTGTTTCAGTTATATGCAGACAGTTGGATAAAACCTGTAACATTTGCAGAGTGACAGTGTCATAACAAGCAACAGTTCAAACACAACTGCTGAAATTAACCGACACTGGTAAAGGACAATGTATCAGGAATCCATTACTGTAACAACTCTAAACATGGGAAGTTTGTCTTAAATTGGACTTTGTGAGAGAAAAGAATAACAAACAAGTTTAAACAGAACACAAAAATCTATAATTGACTAAAACATCAACAAAATAGTTCCCAATCATTTGACATATCAAAATTTTCAGAGTTGTAATGAACAGTGGAAGTACAATAAGTATATTACCATTTTACATTATTCTTCATACAATTAGTGACTTACACATCTTGACTACCATACAAAGACATTAAACTTCGTGTTTTTAAGGTATATGCACCTACAATATTTCCATACTATAATGATAATCTGCTGACACCTTCATAGTATAGTTTTATCATTAAACATGATTTATGAAGATGGCCACGAAACAGTATATAAATCCTATTCTAAGGTAAAAATTTGAAGCTCTCAAATTAAATTAATTGTATATTAAATTATGTGCATATACCTTAGTTTATAGCTTCACAGTTGTTGTCACTGTTCTTAGGTTAAAAAATAATAAACAAAATAAATGCATGATTGAAAGCAAAAACATGAATAAAATAAGCAAAAAAATACTTTTAAAATAGCTAAATCTAGAAAGTGAATTATGACAAAATGACTTCAATTTCTGTCTGCAAACACATTTTTAGTAATTAAATATTGAGATCCCCAGGAATGTTGTTAACACAGGAAAAATCTTGCTTTTGCTAAAATAAAATCAGTATTTACTTAATATATTTAACCAAGTGCTGTTGCACCAAGCCCAACTATTGTCGGTGCTTAATCTTAAAACAAGAATCATGCTAAGTCTAGAAAGGGAAAAAACTGTACTGAAGTTATGGTTAAATTTTGAATTTGATATTTCAAGGAAACAGAGTGCTGGAAAGTTTATGTGATTTAAAGGGATATTTTTTGTAAAAATCTTATTCTATTACATTGTGTTATTCTCTAGGATTGTATCCGTCCAATAATCAAATAGGGAAAAATTTGAGAGAAACTAGAAATGTGTCATCATGCCACGGATGCCCCCGCATGCAGCCAAAATTTCAGATGGTGCTTTAATTATTTTTTAGCTCACCTGTCACAAAGTGACAGGGTGAGCTTTTGTGATCGCTTTTCGTCCGGCGTCCGTCCGTCCGTCGTCCGTCCGTCGTCCGTCCGTAAACTTTTGCTTTAAATGACATCTCCTCATAAACCACTGAGCCAATTTCATCCAAACTTCACAGGAATGTTCCTTTGGTGATCACCTTTAAAAATTGTTCAAAGAATTTAATTCCATGCAGAACTCTGGTTGCCATGGCAACCGAAAGAAAAATCTTTAAATATCTTCTTTTAAACAACCCTAAGAGCTAGAGCTTAGATATTTGGCATGAAACATCTTCTAGTGAGTGTCTACCAAGTTTGTTCAAATAAAAGCCCTGGGGTCAAAATTGGCCCCGCCCCGGGGGGTCATTGATTTTCCCTATATGCATATAGTAAAAACTTGAAAAATCTTCTTTTAAAGAACCCAAAGAGCTAGAGCTAAGATATTTGGCATGAAACATCTTCTAGTGAGTGTCTACCAAGTTTGTTCAAATAAAAGCCCTGGGGTCAAAATTGGCCCCGCCCCGGGGGTCATTGATTTTCCCTATATGCTTATAGTAAAAACTTAAAAAATCTTCTTTTAAAGAACCGTAAGAGCTAGAGCTTAGATATTTAGCATGAAACATCTTCTAGTGAATGTCTACCAAGTTTGTTCAAATAAAAGCCCTGGGGTCAAAATTGGCCCCGCCCCAGGGGGTCATTGATTTTCCCTTTATGCATATAGTAAAAACTTAAAAAATCTTCTTTTAAAGAACCCAAAGAGCTAGAGCTAAGATATTAAGCATGAAACATCTTCTAGTGAGTGTCCACCAAGTTTGTTCAAATAAAAGCCCTGGGGTCAAAATTGGCCCCACCCCGGGGGGTCATTGATTTTCCCTATATGCATATAGTAAAAACTTAAAAAATCTTCTTTTAAAGAACCATAAGAGCTAGAGCTTAGATATTTGGCATGAAACATCTTCTAGTGAATGTCTACCAAGTTTGTTCAAATAAAAGCCCTGGGGTCAAAATTGACCCCGCCCCAGGGGGTCATAGATTTTCCCTATATGCATATAGTAAAAACTTAAAAAGTCTTCTTTTAAAGAACCTAAAGAGCTAGAGCTAAGATATTTAGCATGAAACATCTTCTAATGAGTGTCTACCAAGTTTGTTCAAATAAAAGCCCTGGGGTCAAAATTGGCACTGCCCCAGGGGGGTCATTGATTTTCCCTATATGCATATAGTAAAAACTTAAAAAATCTTCTTTTAAAGAACTCAAAGAGCTAGAGTTTAGATATTAAGCATGAAACATCTTTAAGTAAATATCTACAAAGTTTGTTCAAATAAAAGCCCGGGGTCAAAACTGGCCCTGCCCCAGGGGTGTCATTGTTTTTAACTATATGTGTATAGTAAAAACTTTAAAAATCTTCTTTTAAAAAACCCAATGAGCTAGAACTTAGATGTTTAGCATGAAACATCTTCTTATGGGTGTCTACCAAGTCTGTTCAAATAAACAAATAAAAGCCCTTGGGTAAAAATTGGCCCGGGGAGGGGGGGGGCCTATATACAGGTGAGCGACCTCAGGGCCATCATGGCCCTCTTGTTTCATTTTAAGTTCAAAGCCCTTAAAACTTTTCAATGTTAACACAAACCATTTTCATACAATGTTCAAGGCACTGAAATTATTCAGTCTAAACCTTTTAAAAATAGCATATTGCATATTTGTAGCCAAAATAATGGTAAGAGTGCTGAAAGTGAAAGTTCAAAATTTTTCCAACATTCAGGAAAGATAAGTTTGTCTTAAATCATTGAACTACAACCAAATTCAAACTTAAACTGCTTATTCCTAAGATGTATTTATATTATTTTCAAAGTGAAAGGGACATAACTCTGCCAAAAAATCATCAAACCATGACCAAATTCCAACTTGACCTGCCCATTCCTTTGACATATCCATATGTCAAATTTAAGGTGCATATGTAACACTGTTGGGTAGATAATGAACAGAAACTGTAAATTTCATATTATTTTCAAAGTGAAAGGGGCATTACTCTGCCAAAAATCATTGAACCATGACCAAACTCGAACTTGGCCTGGGCATTCCAAAAACATATCCATATGTCAAATTTGAGTTGAATGTGTTGTACCATTGGGGAGATAATAAACGGAAACTGAAAATTTCATATTACTTTCAAAGTGAAAGGGGCATAACTCTGCCAAAAATCATCGAACCAAGACCAAATTCGAACTTGACCTGTATTTTCTCATGACATATCCATATGTCAAGTTTGAGTTGAATGTGTTGTACCATTGGGGAGATAATGAACGGAAACTGAAATTTCATATTATTTTCAAAGTAAAAGGGGCATAACTCTGCCAAAAATCATCGAACCATGACCAAATTCGAACTTGACCTGTATTTTCTCATGACATATCCATATGTTAAATTTGAGTTGAATAAGTGCAAGCGTTCTTAAGATAATGAACGGAAACTGATGATGACGGAATGACAGAATGACGGAAGGACGGAATGACGGAACAGGGTAACACTATATGCCCCGGCCATTACATGGCGGGGGCATAAAAAAAAACAAACAAAAAAATCAAGCAAAATGTTCCAGCTTTAAAATGGATTACTCATTATTTCAATCATCGTTATCTCCCCTTACACATATTTCTTTACATACAACAAACATTTAAATCTAGATGAATAAAACAATGTGCTCTCTTGTAAAACTTCAACGAAAAGAAAAACAACAACAACAAAACAGCAAGATATTCTAATTTCTTCAAACAGTTTAATCAAAACATGGTAGTTTTTGTCTATATTGTAACATGGTTGTAGCTGAAAGGTAATAATAGCTATGGCTGGATTGCTATCACAAATAATGGCCTCTTGATTACAGCTATGGACCAAAAAACATTGATGATAATGGCTATGAATTGTGCCAAAAATGAATAATAAGTATGAAGTGAAATGAGTAATGAGTATGCATTAATGCAGGCATAAACTAGAAATGTGTCATCATGCCACGGATGCCCCCGCATGCAGCCAAAATTTCAGATGTTATTATATTTAGTTCCAAATTTGTTTGCACAAATTATTGTTTTCATTTTAAGTTCAAAGCCCTTAAAACTTTTCAATGTTAACACAAACCATTTTCATACAATGTTCAAAGCACTGAAATTATTCAGTCTTAACCTTTTGAAAATAGCATATTTCATATTTGTAGCCAAAATAATGGCTACATACATTTCCACAAAAGTATGAG